GAAGTTAGCTTTTTTCGCGACAAAAACCGGCTTGAAAATATCGGGACGTGTTTCTTTTTAAATCTGCATCGAGAGCATAGAGCGAGCTATGCTCCGCAAATATTCATGCGCCTCGCATTTCTTTTGACACATTAGACTTCGAAATATTTCAGAGCTCGTTGGCCAAAATGATACGATTTATTAAACATTCGCGGTTTCCCCTGCTCTAAAGACGATTGTGATCGGCTGATTAGTAATCATGTGGCCATGTGTACCGAGGAGGTAAATTTATTGAATGGGATCAATGTCTACGTTTTGCAAGTGACCAGAACGTGGCTGAGGCTGGTGGTGTGTTTATTATCGTCTCCTACTTTTAAAAAAAGCAGCGAATAGCTACTTCAATGGAAAACTGCTCTTACACATAACCGTAAACCTCATTTTCTTGACTTCCAGCTGCACAAAGTGAGAAAAGCTTTTATCATATAAACTGCGGTGTTATACAAGCTAAGGATTTCCGGCCCTGAGAAATGCCGTAACAACAATATCGTATTTTTTCACGTGTGTTGATACAGCCAATCAGCTGCTTACACGTCACTCGCCTTTGGCGCCACTCGGTCAGGTTGATGAATGAACATCAAAGCCTTTACAATTCTCAGTACAAGTTGTCTGTCGGAGCTTTCTCAAATTATGGTGGCTAAACACTAAAAAATCTTTATCGCTGACAGACAATGAGGTTCAAACTTTCCTTGAAAAAAAAACCAATATACTAAAAGAAAAACCGAAAGTTGCGTATTCAGTGGAAGAACTACCAAATGAAACCGGAACTACTGCAAAGACTCTAATATTTGATCAATGTGAACATCTTTTACATACGCCAAGCTCGTATCAGTTGCCGAGCAAACATCCGAATGCTTCAGCTGTAACACCACAGCAGTCTTCTTTAGAAGTGCAGCAAGGCAAAATTCATCAAAGTGTCCGTCAAGCGAGTTTTCAGGGTACCCATCCATCATGGGTGAGTCAAGGACAGCACTCCCCATATGAGGGCGTTGCCGAAGCACAAGGGGACACGCTGGGAAACGTCTTACTGCTGGCCATTACCGATTGTGAGATGGCGATAGTAAGCCAGTCAACTGAAAAGCGAAAGCAGAGTTACTGCGAACATTGTTCCAAAACAGGGAAAACCGATGTCAACACTTGCGAAGACGAAGAAGAACAGAACGCAGTATGTTCCAACCACGTGCCTAGTAGTATAGTAGAGATGGAAGACATTATTTCAGCAAAGCAAAATGAAGAACACAGTAAAATGCAGTTGAATGAGGAGAAACAACTTGATGACCCAGAAAACCAATACCTGAGTATAAAGCCTTCAAGTATAGCGCCATCTTTACCCATGATTAAAAAACGGGGATATCTTAACGGACCGCGATGCGAGCGAATCATGGAACGACTGGAAATTCTACAGGATAAGGGACGATTCCAAGAACACAAGTGTTTGGTCAAATGTTTGCTCAAACACCGCATGGAGCGTAAAAGCAGCAACGTTACACGCGATACACAGTGTGAACAACTGTTGAAAAAACTTGAATTTCAGCAGAATGATAGAAAACTTGAAGATAGAGATGTTTTGTTTCATTTGTACTCTCGACTTTGTGGGGGAGAAGAATATGCTGATTTGGAATTATCTCTTGTGATCGAACAAGGAGTTTCCTTTATGTACCAGAAAAAATTTAAGAAAAGCAAGCTCTTTCTAACCTCAGTTAGTGCATTCGGCGAATACTGTAAACTGAAAAATTCGAACATTTTAATAGCAAGAACGTATTTTCTTCTGATAGAACTAAATATGCACATGTACAAGAAAATTAAGAAGATTCAAACCCTGTTTGAATATTTGGAACGCAGCAAGGACTACTTGAAACATCACGATTCCCCAGAGGACATGGCTGAGTTATATTACAACCGTGGATTACTTTGGATGATTTTCACGTGCACGATCCCGGTCGACGAAGGGCATGCACAGGTACGGAAACATGCCCGAGAAAATGCGATACGTGATTTCGAGCTCGCAATTGCTTATTCTCAGGAGGATACCCGTTCGAGAGTTAGAGAGAAGAAGCTGACATTCTGCCATCTAGGTATCGCAGCTGTCCGCCTTGACTGCACATCGACTAACGCCCGGAATGAGATAAACAACATTCATGTCACTACGGAAGATATTAAAGATGCACAAAATCACCTGGACTATATCTTGCACGAAGTGGGTGATTCCCTCGCCATAGGGCCACGCATGCATCTTTATAAGAATCGTTCAGATCAGTATTATCGAGAAGGTTTCTACCAATTGGCCAAAGAAACAGCCGAAAATGCCTTACAGATTGCATCCAACTATGGATTTAAAACTGAAGAGGACACGCTGAAAGAGCGAATCTATTTTCTGACGAACCTACTCGTCAACGAAAACAGTTCGTCCGTTACGGACGAGGCTCAAATCTTCAGCTCGGACAACGACGCCAGTTCGGAAGCATCTTGAGGCGATACAAAATGTCAAGGTTGTCAACTCAATGCTTAAGTTCAAGGATATGATACACTGAGTAGAAGCTACGGAGCAGATACCTATTCTACCATTCACCTACCCCCCCCCCCAAAAAAAAAATTCATGAATAATGATTGTAACAACCTTAAACCAAGAATAAGGAGAAACCTGTATAAATTGTACCACTGAATTCAGTTGAGGTCACCAAGTCTGTGTACAACCCAACTTTGAACTGTAACAATATCCACAAGCAAATCAACTTACCAAAAAATTATTTCCTTCTTAAACTTACACCTGTATCGGCATTTTGGGGGAGAGGGAATCGAGCAGAGGTGAGAGCGCTGGTCTTCCACCGCTGTAACCCAGGATCGATTCTCAAACCTGGTGTCATGTGTCATGTGCGAGGGTTAGCTCGCCCCTGGGCGCTTTATGTTCGCAAATTTGTAGTTTCCTGTTGATTCACGTACCTGTAATGTGGGTTTTTTTTTTATCGTATTCTCCGATTCTCCTCCCTCGAAAAATAAAAGAATTCCATGAACCAGCGGATGTATGCTTTGCAACTTTTGAAACATATTCAAAGTAATGAACTAGATGGCGAAAGATGTTTTTTTCGTCTTATCACGAGCGTGGGACAAAGAAAAAATTCTGAGTCCCCATGAGGAATCGAACCTCAGACTCATGGGGACTCAGAATTTTTTCTCTGTCCCACGCTCGGGACCAGATGAAAAAAACATCTTTCTCTATTTCTTTACCGAGCTCAACCTTAGATGTTACTAATGTCGGTGATGTAGTATTTGATTGATGTTGGCATTGTAAATGGCATAATAATGGTAAGATTTCACTGTAAGCAGCTCATTGTAAGTAATGTATCGTGAGTGATGTATCTAAGGTAGTGCGTTGTAATAGAGTTTATGTGTTGTAAATAATGTATGTCCTTGTATATCGTGGATGTACCACTGTTATCACTAATTTTATATAACGATGTGGCTATTTATCTTTATATTCATTCATTTATTTATCAATTTTTTTATTTACGTCATCGGTACGCAATCAAGGTTGAGCTAAAACTTGCATTGAACAGACGAGATCGCAACTTTTCACATCTCGAGCGTCTATACTGTGGATTAAATTAAGTAGATTTACTAAACAGCTCAAAATACTTACCAGCGCGTTTGACAGCCGCATGAGCCGTTAGGCTGGAAGGCCAGAATACTGGAACAACGCCGTCCATATCCACGTCAAATGCATTGCCGAGGTATGGTTTGGTAATATCCTTTATCCCAATCACGGAAGGATCACCTATATGTACCACTGTTCCAATTAGAGTCTCCAAACGTGAGGTAACTGCTACAGTCCTTTCCAAAAGTCGTTTAGGAATCGGAAACATGCAAACCACCAGTGGACTGCCGAATGCTCCAGCCTCTTTACACATGATGTTAGTTTTATAATGAGGGACGGTTTTCATATTTTCTTCGCTTACATCAAGAATTCCAGTTGCAATGAGTTCTTCCTCAATGTGATGGCTTATCGAGGCGATGTAAAATGCCACCATGTCGTTCCAAGGAAATTGCGTCAGATTGGTAACACGTTCGACTTCATGGCCGTTTTTCAGGACATGGTAGAAAGGTAGCAATGTTCTGAAATGAAATAATTTTCAAATCGAATCAGCGCGAGGTACAACAATGAGACGAGCAAAGAAATCACTCTAGATTCCAGATTCTCGAACAAAGTGTTCTGTATTTGGCATCTTCGATTTTCTCAGAATATTCCTAATCTGCCAACCCTACCCCCCCCCCCCCCCCCCCCTTTTTCCAACCCAAGGAGCCAGCCGCGCGAGGGCATGGGGCGAAAGCATAGAATCAAACGAACGGAAAGGCCAGTAACACGTACAGTTACTGTGGTCATTCATAAATCATAATTTGGGATAATTAGTTCATCTCATCTTCACAAGGTGTATATCTGGATTCAGGGACCTAGAAATTAATTCCTGCCAATTTTCCTCTCTACATTCGCTTCTTCCGGATTTCCCGGTGCACAGCTTCCAGAAGCCTGGTTGAGAATGATTACTTTCGCTTTAGAAAAGCATTTGTCCATACCTGATGTCTGAATCACGTACTAGAGGCTTCGTTGTGGTATCTCCAGGTGCACTGCGCTGAAGCTTAGGACAACAAGATTTGTTTAACTTACAAAACTTCTCGAATTGATCGGCGTTTGTCGATGGAACCACGATCACATTGACATATAATTGCCCTCGAAATGATGCGGCTGCATTCAGGCCTTTTACTGCCATTATTCTACTCGCCATGTTCTTAATTTTTCAAAGTACCAAAGATCTGTAAAGAAAAAACTTTGGGCTGAAATCTTGTCCCTGCGAGAAGAGCCGTGGTGTTTTTTTTTTGTGTGCAGCACTCAGGATGGCGTGACTTAAACAGTGAAACTACGTAAAGCGTCACGTGAAACCAGGGATGTCTGTCACATGCTTAGCATGTGACGCAGCTCTCGTGGTCACGCAATCTTTATTAACTCTAAACGACCGCCTCTTTGTGTAAAAGAACTTTTCAAAGAACAATGCCCGCTTTGGAAGAGAGTGGGAACGTAGCTTCTTGGCCAGCATCAAAAGCTAGGCATCAATTTCGTACAAATCCAGAGTATGAGGGGAAATCAACGTCGGGATTTTGTATGCGACATGTTCAGACAAATCTGGCGATCCTTCCAGCTTCACTGGCCGATGAATTTGAACAGTTCTGCAATTTAAACAAAGCTCCATGTCCATTATTGTACAAAAGCAAACCTGGTGAACTATCTGCTGGAAATCTCGCCCAGGATTCTGATGTAAGGTATGACAAATTTAAGAAATGCTAGGGGCTCTTGATAGTTCCCTTTTTGAATGTGCACCCATGTAAGAAGAATGAGCTATCTCCGGAAAAACTACTCCTACAACTTTCATTATCGTCAGTGTCACCTTTCATTAAGCAGCTGTTATAATTGAAGTAAATAGCATCTAAATCGTTTACCCTTTCACTCCAGGAATGACCAAGATACAATTTTTTGAGAAGATACTCTCTCACTCCCAATAGCTCAATGAAAATTCTCCATACTGTCTGTCATACTTCTCCTATAAAGTTTGTTCCGAGAATTTGTCGTCGGATCAAATGCTATTTTCCTTATTAATATTTTTTTTTTCATTCACATCACTTGGCAGCTTGATATTGTATTGATCAATACTATAACAATAAATTAAGTTTTGGTCACTCTTGGGGGTTGAAAGGGTCAAGATGCAGGTGCTGTAAGTGATGAGAATAGAGAAAAGTTTCAAGCAGGGATATTTAATGATTCATCGCCAAATTCTCCCTAACATCAAAAAAAAAATGTTTTGTAGCCAGTAAGGAGAGTTGCAATAAGGATCTTTAGAGTGACAAGGCCTGAAACAACTGAACTAGTTTATTAATAACTACTGAGAAGCAAGGCCAGTTCATTTAAGACATTGGAATGGAAGGTTTGATTTTGAAGGTTTCAAATTGAACCCTATTAAGCGAGAATGAATGAAATGTGGGGGGGAGGGGGAGACCTTTAGCATATCTGCAACAAGGCTGCGGAACTAACTACCCATTAACCTACAAAAAGAGGTGAAAAACAGTTGCTTCTTTCAGAGAGGCCTTTCACAGACATTTTCTAATAAGCTACGATGAAGTAGAACATTTCAGTTCAAATGCAATTTAACCCAACAGAGGCAGCATATTTCATTTAATCCAGTTTTTAGCTTGCATTCTAACTTATAGACCTGTCGACCAGTTTTATAATCTTTGAATACATTTTAATTCTAACTGAGGTACTTTTAGGATCAAGGGCCACCAGTTCATCAGTTGAATTACTGTTGTGTGTTACCCTCCTTAAATAAAGTTATTATTATTATTATTATTATTAACAATTGCCCTGTATTCTTGTTCAAGTGAGTCTGAAAATACAATGAACACAATGTCTGCTTTTCTGAGTCTAAGATTTAAGAATATTTAGTTCTGTCAAAGATACTGAAAGCTATAGTCAGATCAATTAATTTGTGTTTCAACTTTCAATTAAAAGCAACTGAATATGACCAACATCTAATTTCTCCTTACAATATCATCCCCCAGTCATACATTAAGGTCATGAGAATAATGGGAATGGTCACCAACTAAAGAAGCTATCAATTGTTTAATAACAAATTCTTCTCGTCAGCACCTCAGGAAAGTATAGAGAACTATACGGAGATTATGCAAACTGATGTTAGGGTGTAAAGGGTGAAGGTACGCACCTTAACCTGTCACTGATTACAGAGAAACCATGAAACCTAATTTAAGGAACATCCTTGGACAACAAAAAGTAGTCTGGAAAAAAGAAATGTCCCTAACCCTTGATAAAATGTTGTATAAGTCATAATTTCCACATATCTCCACAATAATGAGTTCTAAATTTCTCATCTAAAACTTTCAGAACTGATCTTCCAATGTATTGGGTCTCTGAGAATGGAAATGTCACTAAGAAAGTGGGAAACCTAACCAGTTATCCTCTGGAGGACTATGTGTCCTTTTACCTTGGATGCAGCTTTTCCTTTGAAGATGCATTGATGAAAGCTGGCATTGAACTGCAGCATATTGTAAAAAAGCGCAATGTATCAATGTTTAAAACTAACATTTCATGTTTGCCTGTTGGGCCATTTGACTGTCCTATGGTTGTTTCAATGCGACCAATTCCCAGAGAATTGGTTGAAAAAACAGTTATTGTCACAGCTGCCTATGATGCAGTGCATGGAGCCCCAATACATATCGGTGATCCATCAGTGATAGGAATCGATGATATTGATAAGACAAACTTTGGGGAATCTTCTGATGTTGCTGATATGATACCTGTGTTCTGGGCTTGTGGTGTAACGTCATCAGTTGCAGTAAGATCAGCAAGTAAGTGGTGTCAGGCTAAGAGGATTTTATTACTTTACCTACTAGAAATTATCATGTCCACTTCAAGTGATATATTAACTAGAAAAAATGATGAAATGACTTATTAAAAACTTATAGCAAAGAGATAGAAAATGGTACTGTACCTTAGAGTAAGGTATCTTGATTTAATAACAAATTCTCTCAACTTGCATGCATTTACACTGGAATATACAGCTGCCAGACAGTGGATATACGAGTCACATTCAATTTGAGAAAATGGGTTGAGAACACACAGAATGTACAAATAATAATTTCCTTTCCCAACATTTTGATGCAGTAAGTGCATGTATGGTGAACTGCTTCCATTTTTAATCCAATTTCGTGTGATTTAATTTGCAAGTAAAGATTAGCCAGTTTTTAACAGAATTTCTTGGTAAGTGAAACAAGATTAAAACTTTCCATCTTCAAAGAAAAATATGGCTGCAAAATATTTGGTAGACATGTAACTTTAGCATATGTAACTGGTAATTGGGAAAATTAGCTCTTAGATCCTGGGATTGATTGCCACTTAATTTAACAGTGTATATATATTTAGTATATGTACAATTAACAGTGGTGGACAAAATAATCCCTTTTTTCTTTTGTTTTCAGAAACTAGGACCAGGTAATTTTGACTTTTTTTCTTGTCCTTCCATTTCTGCAGAACTACCACTATCATTCAGTCATCAGCCTGGGTCAATGTTCATATGTGACACCACTTTGGAAGAATACTTTAGAGTCAATAAACCTGAACATGGCGATGAACAACCCAAACTTATCACTCTGGCAGATCAACCATTTTTAGCTTCTGTCTGCTCTGAAACTGCATTTAAAAAAGTGGAAAAGCTCAGTAAACTGTTGGGTCATCAGAGTGGTTTTGAAGGAGATGTCTATGATTCTGATTTCCTGAAGATTTCTGCCAGATTGTCCCATGCTCCATCTGTTGTTATAGGCATTCTTGATGAGGAAATAATACCTTCTTCTGATTTGGCAACTTCGGATGGTCTCCAAGGAGTTATAACTTTGGTCAAAGCACTTCAGGCAGTGAAGAAGAAGATCACAATTATCACAGAACACAATTCACAAGTGATTCATGACTGTATCACAGCCAATGCTTCCCAAGGAATATCAGAAAAAGATGTCCACGTTGTTACATTGGAGGACAGTGGGAACTTGAAGGACAGACTTTTTACTGGGAATGTAAATCACAAACTGGATACAGTGATAGCTTTACAAATGACAACAGAGTTTAGCAATAGCAATAGTGGATCTGAAAGGACCATTCAAGTTGGTTTAGTGGACAAATTATTTCAGGAAGGTATGTTAATGTTTAATTGAAAATTGAAACATAAAGAAAACTCCCATGTATATGCTCATTCTCCACAATAGTCTGTTTTAGCAATTGACTAATTGGTTTGGTAGTAGAAACATTTCCATTTTATAAATTTTGAAGCAAATGTGTTGAAAACTTAAGTTTCAACAGAGTGAAGCTACATGTACTTGTTTATATTAATTTGCTTTGGTGCATGGCAAAAGACGAATTTTTGGGTTTTTGTTCTTTGCATTATGAAATTGAGACCTGAAAGGAGAATTCTCACCTGAATGAATATACCCAGATGGCTCAGAAGTCTGGGTCTAGAGGTCTGGGTTTTGAGCCCTTGACCACTCAAACTGTTGGGGTCTATAGCAAAACACCTGCTAGTGAGTGGTTGGAGGGCTGGAAGGGCTCTAAAGACCACTAATCCCCCCCCCCTTTCCTATTTCAAATAGGATATTGAGTTTCAATTCATTGATTGCATCTCCAGACCCACATCTACATATAAGATCTGACACCTGCTTTTTTATTGTGCCTAATAGACTATTCTTTTGTCAAGCCTCTGATGTATACCCTCCCTGTTTGTATAACTTGAATGTAAAGTTTTAATCTTTTAGTTTATAGCTTTCAAAATGGAATTGTGTCAGTGAAAATCACCACCAACAGACAGGAGACATTGCCAAATGGCAATTACAGTTCAGTTTATAGTCATGTTATGGTTGCCAACTCCGTGCAGACAGCTGCATTGGGTCTTTCTGCTGCCTTATATGTCCTGAATAGCTGTCCAATTCACTCACGGTATCAACGGCATGGTATTGGCAAAAGAGAAGTCTTCCAAGTTGGGCAATTCCTTGTGAACAACACTGAACAAGTAAGAACTTTCACTGTATTGGATCCGTGCTTGCAAAATACAACATTTGTGCTTGATGAAAGCAGTGCTTTCCCATTGGGTATTTTTCATCATCAGTTTTTTTCTCAGATGATTTCTTTTTTCACAGTATTTGTTATTTTAATTTTAATCAAAATGTCAACATCAAACAACTCATTTGCATGAAAATTCCTACTTTGATGTAATTATTTTGGGGAGGGGGATTTCTCTCATGGCAAAGAAGTCTGAAAAGTAAGAAAAAATAGCTTCACCGTACCCATGAACTGACCAATGATTCTTTATCATTTTAGGAAAAAACATGCCACCAGATTCTTGACTGGATTAAAGACATCTGAAGATTCATTTTCAAGAACTAAATTTGCTTTAATGTTTTATGAATTCCATGCAGACAATTATCGCTGCATGTTTTTCTTCTTCGAAACAAAACTGATTTTGTTTTGTTTTTTTTTTTTGGAAGGGAGGGGAGGCCTCATCATTTGGTGATTTCAGGCAACAAATAAGAATAAAAGAATCATAGGCAAGCATTTTTTAATTGAAGTTTTAAGATTTGAAAATTTTGTGCACTTCGAACTGAGTGGCAAATATTTGTCAATGAGGAAATGGAAATAAGACACATATTTCTCCCTTCTCATTGAACAACCCACTTTGCAATATTCACAGGTTTGACCCATCAGTGGGTTTCTTAATACAAAGCTGCCCACATGAAACATTTTAAGCCTTTAACTCCCATGAGTGATTCACATGTAACTTCTCCCTAAAATATCCATTCCTTATCCAGCAGAGATAATGAGAATTCTCAAACTTATCAGGTACAAGTTGTTGTCTTGATCTAACACCAAATTCTCATAACTGATTTATGTGGAAATGTGTAGCAGCTAGAGGGGAGAATTAACAATCAGATCTTAGCAGTTAAAAGGACAATTAATTAAAGTTCTCAACCACATATTTCTCTAATTTTGGTAGTGAATGTTATTGAAAAAGGTGGGAAACTCATGACTTTTTGGCTTAGCTGCTGGTAAAGATCTTTCTTTGATATCTTTCAGAGGTAGAAGGGGACGTATTGTACACAAAATGACTTCAGGAGGTTGGGGTTCTTACTTGGTTTAGAAGACAAAGTTGACATAAAACGACAAAGAACCAATTGGTTCCCATTTGGTTAATGTTAACCCCATCGTGTTTGTCTTTCTTTGCAAACTAATATTTTAAAGTTTCACTCCTGTGGTCATCAACAAAAACATCTCAGAATGGTTAAGAAGATTCTTTAATTTATTTTAAATTTCATTTTTGGTAATGTCTGTGTGGCAAAATAAAATGAAGTGATTACGTGGCTACAGCAAGGGTTTCAATGACTTTTTCCTTAGGCTATTGCCGGTGGTGTATTTAACGGCTGTGCTGTAAGACGAGGTGATGGACAAAACACTGACCCCAGTACACGGATAGGTTCTATGAGAGCACTGCAATCTATATACACCTTTCTTGCACATGCCCTCGTAATTTATACAGAGTATTTCTTGCTCAAAACTCGAACATTAACGTCGAGTCAGCACGGGGAGTGGAAACAAATCATTTCTGCGGGTCTACTTAATTTCAGTACTTTAATTTCCTTAATACTTGTGTCCACTTCAATGATATAGCTTATTGCTTCTACTTCGAGGTTCAATTCATTCACGCTTGTCAACACAATAACCCTTCTCTAGAGTAATAGCAACGTGCCTGGTTAAACAACATGCCGCGCGTTGAAACATATTCGATCATCTTGCAGCTGTAAAACTACATGTACTATTGAATATAGAGATGGCTGACTATGAACGATCTCTCATGAGCGTGGCAAATATCTGCGTCAATCTATGTGCCTAAACACGAATCAGTGAATATTATCGATTTCTCGTCTTCATGACCAATACTGAGTGAAAAACATGATTGAGCTATTTTCGTAGGAAGGACATAAAATGTTTAAAGTAATCACCTAATTTTCGTTGTAGGTGTTGCGGCTAGCAAGATAGGCCCATTTAGGTAGTCCATGGACTGGGGGTCAGTGTTTTGTCTACCACCGGTAAGGCGAAATCCAATCAAGAGAGCCAACTCGTGGGCTTAACAGACGGCTGTGAAGGGTCTTATTGGCGACGGTAGACTGCCGGTAACCGACTTTTATTGAAACCTCTGAGCTATAACATCCACCGTGACGGTCCAAGTATATCAATTAAGGGGCTAAGTTTATAAAGAAACTGTGGTGCTGCATCGGTGGGAATATAAACATGGTGATTTAGCATTATTAACTGAGTTGATAACGTAAATTTTCCACCGTAAAGAGTTTCAAAGCTGACGTTTCGAACTTTAACCTTCGTTAGAGCGATTTGGTCCAAGAAAATGTCTGTTGTTTGGTACAATGAGAGAGTGAAACAAAAATGATGCAACTCCAAACCTTTATTAGTAGAATTACAAAGGTGATCAGTTATTAAAAGGTTAGAAATTCGTCATCTGAAGAAACGTTCATTTAATAAATTATTTAGTGGACAGCGATGCTATTAAATACCTATATAAATAAAACAGTATGAACATTTTCAAACTAATTAATCCAAATCCACTTTTTCTTTATTGTAACTAGATGGTGTGGAAAGCGTACTAATGATTTCCATTCTAACTTACGTTCATCATCAAAAATAGACTACGGTACTTGACATTTGGCAATCATAAAAGATTATTCACGTACACTGAAAAAATTAGTCATAAATACATTTTAATAGAAGGGAAGACAACTTTACTAACTCTTCCAAAACTGTACAAAGGGCAAAAGCAAACTAGTACCCATATCTTCTCACTCTGTGAAAGTAAGAAAAGATCTGGGGAGTAGATTACGGTCGATATTCACATTATATACACGATTTCTTCGAGAGCCTGCGAGAACTCGCGTAGACACAGTGTGCTAGACTCTGGATGGCTAGCCCCCTTTGTATCCCTATTGTATAAAGTTTTGAAAACGTAATCTTTTCCTTTTTCATACTCAACAAAAACAAGGCAAGAGCCAGCTCAAACTTGATCGAGTTATCAATTCTCCTGCACGACGTGTTACGAGCGACTGTTTCCCATAAGCGACTAGACTTCCTGTAAATGTACAGCTGATAGGTTTCATTGTTTGCAATTAGCTATCACTCTAAACATCAATAAATAACTACTTCATTACATCTTGAACTAATCAGCCATCACACACACCCATACTCGTACCAAACCGAGGATTTCTTACCATCTCCTGGGTTTGACCCGACAGATCTCGTCTGCGCCCTCTCCTCCGCGCCTGATCTTCGACCTGACGCCATCGACGAATCATCTGGCAGAGCAGGAGGAGAATCCATGAATATCTCTTTTTCCTTTGCTGCTTTCCTTGCCTTGCGCACCTTTTTCAATGCCGGTGAGCAATCGCGGCTGCGATGCGACGAAACAGACCTAGCATCGTCGTCATTGTCTTCAGCTAGGGTCTGGGAAGAGGGCTGCACGTACGTTGATGCTATACTTCCGTTGTCGGCTGGAGATGTATGTTCAATTTCAAGAAGCCGCGCTCGCTCGCTGGAAACGTTTTGTTTAGTGGTTTCTTGAATTGTTCCCGAAGAAACGATTACCTTAGTGTCGTTCCTGTTCTCGTCTCTTTGTTCGTTCGCAGATGGCTTCAATTCCACAGGATTAGAGGGGACGACATTAGGCGGCGAGGGCGCTGTACCATACCGTGACGGCATATTGGTATCAGCACTAACCGTATTTCTCAATACAGCAGTATTGCTATTCAACAGCAACCGAGAGTCATGCGTGGCGCTGGCTCGTGACGGAGTGGTGTGATCGCGAGATGGTGTAATCGAGTCGCGTGAAGGCAATTTGTTGTTTGACAAGGGTAGTACACGTTCATCCCCGCGTTTATTCCGCACAATGGCGAATACCGATGACGAAGTGACTTCCGCACGGTTCCCACGAGAAACCACCGGAGTTGAACTCAAATCAACCCCGGATGCGTCTACGTAAACTGAAGTTCCAGCCCCAGCAGTACTCACTGCCGCGCTGGGTGATGCCTCGCTCTTAGGTATAGTTCCACTTGTAACATAATGCGCTGTGACTGGGACACTTTGCAGGGGTGGAGCGGTTGAAGCTGCAAATATAGTGCCCTGCCGCTTTGATGCCCTGAGTCCTTCATTTCTGTCACCACTAAGGCTCCTTTCTCTTGAATGAGCTGAACTTGTTTGACTTGTGTCACGATTAGGTGAGTCATTCACATAAATTACCTTTGGGCTATCACTCGTGTCTCCATCTGAGCTCTTTTCTCTAACGTTTTGAACATGGGAGGGAACAGCATTGTAGTTCCTCGGGGATTCAATTAGTTTACCACCATTCTGTTCTCCACGGGCACTCCTTTCTCGCGTTTGTTTAGAACGAGATGGCAATGTGCTATAGTTCCTGGAGGGTTCCATACCCTTCTTAATGTTCTTATCGCCTCTTAAGCTCTCTTGCCGCTGAAATCCACGAGGCGTGGATGTAGTGGGTTCCTCGCGTTTGTCACCGCCAAAATTGCGCTCCCTCTCTTGGTAAGGACTTGTTATACCACCATTAAAAACCAGTGCCCCTTCTCGTGCCTGAGGACTGTTTTCTTTCTTTTCTAATGTAACTCTCCTCGCCTGATCCTCTTGGAAAGGTGATGAGACGAATTTATTAGTAAGTGACGGAGACGAACCATTAGGCGTGTTCGCGGCAGCTATCACTTGCACAGATATTTTACTTTTGGTCGGTTCTACAGCTCGTTCTCGAACTGGTATAGTGTCAAGATTTTGAGTGTACTGCGTAATGGGCATGCTCGCCCGTCGCGCATCTCTTTGAGGGGACAAAGCGCCATTTTCTTTCCTCCCCATGATTGGGCTACGCTGAGGAGTCCGAGGAGACGGCTTATCTTCCAACTTCCGGGCCAGAATAGGAGAGGAGTGAGGACTTAACGTTCTCTGCACGGAAGTAGAAGGTGGTGAGGGTGGCAAAGGTTCAAGAGAGACTGGATACTCCTTTCGAGGAGCAACTGGAGATATGTTAGGGCTACTGCGAGTCCAGTAATGCTTCCTCATCCCTGATGGAGATGCAGTCGGTTTCAGGTGCTTCATTCCTGGCTGCTTCAGTAGTTTTCCTGAAGATCCAGCTCCATTACCGTCTGGAAGTCCATCCCCGGAATCAACATCATTGGGTGTCAGAGTCGACGAGCTACTCGGCAGCTTGTCCAAAGCGTCCATGCTTCGTGGGCGACCAAGCCTTCCAGGTGACCAGTCGCTGTCATTGAATACCTCGGAACGAACGTGACGCGCACGAAAAGCAGACACGTCGTGGGTAGCGGAACGAAGACGTACACTGTCTGGTTCTTCCGCTCGAGGTAACACAGGCGTGCTGATGTAAGGGGACGAGAGTCCATCTCTCTGCCGCCTAAGGACAACATCGGACTGGGCACTAATTAAGCTGGAATTCAACAAACTCTTGGTTGCTGCTTTCGAATCCCCGGAAGCAGAGCTTTCCCGTGAGCCTTCGCTGCCCGTTTCGTCCCGTCTGCTGACAGGAGTGGCGATCGACGTGCTTGTGTCAAACTCTTCAAGGTATGAACTGTTATCGATGCGAAGAAGCTGAACGCTGTTCCGTTTCTTCTGGGAAATTTCATCTTTCTTCTGAAAAGGAAAAGCAAGATAAACCAAAATCGCCTTGGTAAGTCGAAAATCAACAGAATGCTCAAAAAAGGCAATTGTTTTGCAAATTAATCGGGTTGTTTCTTGCCTTTTTTAATCCAGCCTTCATCATCACTCTCGCAAGGAAGTTAGGTTTTCTGGAAAACAAGCAATGAAGTTAATGCTTCAGGCTAACCTGGGCCTTTAACAAAGTGATTAGTGGAGGGAAGGGATCTTAATCCTAAATAGGTATGAAAGCAGCACGCAGAACAACAAAACATGATTTAATTGCTACGAAATCATGAATAAGAAACTGGGATATCAATAAATTATCTTTATCTTACTTTTTAGGTTTGGCCGCGCTTTCTGCCAGCGCTTTGTTTGCCAAGTCAACTTGTTCCTCGAGTCGTTCTTTCTGACGCTGCAGAGCGTAGATACGATCTCTGTAAAACAAAAGAATCAATTAACAAGAAAACTTTCAGGCAGAACCACTAAACAATAGGACATAACCAAGAAGACGAAGACGTACTATTTTCTAACTTCTCTATGTCAACAAAAGGCTGAATAGTTATTGCGTACTTACGAGAACGCTCTCTCGCCGTCCATAAACTGATCTTTGTCTTCCAACGACTTCACCAGAAGATCTTGATTCTAATGGAAAGCAAATAGGATCATCAGGACTTACATTATTTCTCCTTACTATAGCCACCCCTATCTCTGCAGTTAGTTCTGATTGGTCTACCACACCTGTGGAAACTCTTAAGTGGAAAGAGGCACTGGGGTGCAACACTTTTCCGAGGAGAAAACCCACTGAGATTTTAAAATCATATATTGACCTGTTCCACGAGTTTGTTCACTTGCTCCACCAGCGCTTTGTTTTCCTCCTCTAGGGTGGCATTCAGCTGACTCAGCATCTGTTTACAACAAAAAGTAAATAAATAAACAAATAAACAAATAAATAAATAAACTTGTCCTTTATTTCAAAAATCTATCGACTCTAGATAAGGAGATTCACAATCGCTTATCATTATTCCAAGCCTCCAAGACGAGACTTGAAAAGAGTGAACACGACATACTACCCTTGTGCGATCCTCTCTAGTCCCGGTTTATCACAGAAAAAGAAAGCTAACAATAAAAACAAAAAAGAAAGGAAATATCGTATACCCTTGTGATTGCCCGTGCCCCCACTCCTCGTTCTTGAAGAAACTATCAAGTAATGTACCATATATCTTCCCTGTAAAAGCCCCTCCGTATCCCATTCCCCTGAGGAAATGACAGACTTCTCCTATGTGAAGCCCTCCGCGTCCTATCCCTGTAAATACCGTATACGTTCCTCTCTAAGCCCTACTGGTGGAGGGGAAGAGGGGACTAACAAAATAAGTAACACTAGTTACCCACCTCGCATCTGTGTCCCATCTTTGAAGCTTCGATGTCCAGTTGATGATAATAATCTCTGAATTCATTCATGTCCACCTGCAGAGCGGTATAATCCGCTCTAGCGTTTTGTAAGTCATTCCTCAGCGATTCGTTCTCAATCTCCAGCTGAGCATTTCTCGATGACATTCCTTCGCTTTGAGCCGTCACCTTGGCGCTCTGGAACAGAGATCAGATGAACATCATCTTTTCTTTCGGCGGGAAATTGTTAAGTAGCAACTGAAGTCGAATGAACTGATTTTCATAGCTATAAAAAACACAACTTCAGGACATAATTCACTGGCTATTCTTTGAGTTAATTATGTTTTCAAGATTCACAGAAGACCCAGCCCTATCGAGTGCACACCTAATTGACAGCACGTACAAATGGGGTGAGTGTATCCAGCCCTATGAGAGATTTACTATCACACGCCAACTAAAAAAGAGCCCACAGAAGTTAAATCAAGCGACGAAAACTCGGGACGTCTAAGAATCAGTCAAATTAATTGTGTTCCTTTAAAAAGATAACCTATCCTATCCCCTATAATAAAACTCTAGTAAGAGTACTCCTCTGTGACTTTATATAAATAGCTACTTCCAAGGTTTGCGCGTTTCACCTGTTTTTCCAAAATTCTTATTTCCTCGTTGAGATCTGCTATCCTTTTGTCCGCGATGGCCAATAACTCTACAGTGTTCTGCCCCGACCTTAAACAAAAGCAATAAAAAGAGATGAAATATTAATACATAGCAAAGTGATCAGAGTAAGATCATTCCCGTTCCTAACAAACGGTATACAATTTAAAATTGGATGAGAGCATAAACAGATCGGTACATGGAGAAATCTAGTGGAAGGCAAACGATTTTCAGGTAGAAAAATTTATCCTTCTCAAACACAAGAAGCGCCTCCTTACAGAATACTTTACTGAGATGATAGGTGAATGCGGGATCTAGATCGACGAGGTTTATCACAGCCCCAAGACAGGTGAGCTTCATTTTAAATCTACCTCAAACACCAACATACCGCTTTGCTGGATTTCATGCATCGATAATAATGCAACACCTACCTTGTAGAGTCCGCCGGTTTGAAGATGATGGTCTGTGAGGAGCCGCCCTTTCCTTTTTGAGCTCTATCCTTTTCAGCTCTCTTGTCATACGATTCGACAATCTACAAATGACAAGAATTCCATACAAAGGGAAATTTTAAATTTCACATTTTCCCCTCTCCTGAGAGGGACAGAGGTAAGTTAGACTCTATTCCACACAATGGTAGACTTGTGGTTGGTTATTAACATAAATCTTCATGACCTTGCATTAATGTTAGTAATCTTATGATGCCGTCATGATTTTTTTTCTTACCTCAGTTAGTCGAAGCTGCTCTTTGGAAGAGGCTCCAAGTCTGAAATGAAAAAGTACAAGAGAAAGAAAAGCTTTAAAAACTGCACCGGCCAATTACTAGCCACCTCATTCTTAAAAACTACTTGTACGGACTTTTAAAGTATTCCAAATTGTTGATGAACGCCTGCGTGTGTATCTTTTAGGAATTCCCCTCTTAGGATCTCCAATGTAGACATTTTTTTGTCACCCACGCACCTTTTCTCCAGTGATTGTATTTTGTCATCCTTTAGCTCAGCAGCGTGAGTCAGCTTGTTATTCTGATGGACAGCTTCTTCAAGCCTCGTTTTCAGTCCTTTAACCTGCTCCTCTCTTTGCTCAATTAACCTGGAGAACTTATTTGCCTGAGCAGTGACTTCTTCTAATCTGTAGGACAGAAACGACTTTTAGAGAGGGTGTAGGAGCTGAGGGGCGTGGAAAATCCAAACCATTTGCAAGTTAGTTTTGGACCTTCTCCTTCCTTTCCAAATTCCATCCTAATTTCCCACCAGTTGGTTTGTGCAAATGGTTTGTCATTCAAAATGAACTTACTTAGCTTCCAAGGCCATGTTCTCGCTCTCCTGTTGCTGTATATTCTGCGTTAAGAGTCCAATCTTGGTGTCCTTCTGCTTCAGAGCCATGCTCAGTGAGTGGCTGTTATCATCCCGACTGATCTCCAATTCCGCTACCCTGTGGTAAACACATTCATGATCGGGTTAAGGGCAAACAGTATATGTCTGCATGTAAAATTACTCGTAAGTCTGCCGCAGCCCATAACGGTTACTCTAGTATGAACTGCCTTCCAACTTTGGATGGATACCAATTCACCGCAGGTCAAGGCACTGACCAGATACAATCGCGAATAGAAAACTCCCGAGTAAAATTAAATCTCGTGTCGAAACCTGGGTCAATTTCACTCTGTCTACAAAAGCCCGTGCTACCCTCAACCAATCTGAGGCAAAATAGATCCATCGAGTTCTTACAGACATTTTCGTCTCTCCTGACAGGTCTGTTCGGTAGCTTTGGTGTTGGTTTTACGCCACTCAACTGAAATGTGTTAAAAGCACGGTCCCCTAAACAAGACCCCATTCCACCAGAACTAGTGTGATCTCTCCAATTACTAAAACAGTTCTCATGACCCATGAGGTATGAAAGTATGGACCGTAGGTATTCACGTACATCCCGCTAACAGTTTAAGTAAGGCTTGCGGTTTCTATGAACTTACAAAAGCAGCCTATTACCGTTTCTGTAAACCTTCGACTTTTGTTTCCTTCTGTTTAAGACTGTGGTTTAATTTTCTGTTCTGGCTTTCGCTCTCCTCCAGTCTAGAAGAAAAATAAATAGAATACCTGTCAAGGAGATACTCCATAACATAGCAGACATTTAACGAATTGGAAATGATTTGCAAAAGATCACATCGAGGTAGGTAACGAGCAACCAAACCCAATTCGATTTATTGCCATTATAACCGGTAGCCTAGTAGTTAACGTAGGCCACCGGTGGGTGTTATTCAACTTTTTGAAAAACCAGCTTTGACGCCAAGAAAAACAGGACCAGAAATGTCAAACTTATTAAACATCTTGTTCAGTCGCAAAATTGCACATGCTTACACTGACAAAAAACAACAACAAAACATGGAAATATCAATCTTGACAGATTGGCTTCATTTCAAGCAAATAACAACCAGAGTACATGGTTAAATTTTTCTTTTTTTTTCATAATTTTACAATGCGAATTAGATGACATAGCCTACTTTGTTTCAAGGCTCATAACATCATTCTCCAAATCTTTTTTGGCTTTTTCCACCTTGTCTAGCTGGCCGAATGTGCTTGCCAGTTCTTGTACCCTGAGAGAACAAAAAAGAGGAAAACATTAGGTATGTTTTGTTTCGGTGGAAGTGAGGCTGCAAAAAGAATCTTTCAACTGATAAGAATTTCTTTCGCCAATGTAGAGCACCTGTCTTCCAATTCAGCAATCTTGCTATCCTTTTCCTTCAGCGCGACACTGAGCTTGCCGTCCGCAGTAGCTGCATATCTCAAGTTCTCCAGTCTGAAAATGAGAAGAAACAGCTTAGTTAGAAAGTTTCAGTTGGTGAAAACGTGTCTTAACCCCGAACGAGTTGATTTAAATTAATTAGAATTACCGTTTTTGTAACTCTGAAAGCTTGTCATCTTTATTTTCTACGTCAGTCTCTAATTCTTTGACTCTGAAGAAACAAAATTGAAAAAAAAAAAAACATATCAGTGACACACTCTCCTGCGCCTTATGTGCCCCTTTTATTTCCCTCCACATTTTGACGTCTTTGCAACAAAACAGACGCAGGGCAACAGAGAATCTATTTATTAAGAAGAGAGGTTTATTTCTTTTCCTTCACTTTCCTTCCCTTTGTTTCCATTCGAGGAATAGATTGACATGCTTTGACCTTATGAACATAGATGGTTACTCTCTAAAAGTAAATAAGGAACAAGTCTTCACCTGTTTTTGTATTCTAACACTTTGCCAGTCTTTGTTTCGAGTAATTTTTCCAACTCCTCTTCCCTGAAATACAAATTAAATCGCGATATACCAACGTCTGACACATGGAATGGGTTCGCCTTACTACTATATGGAAAAAAGCAGCATTTGACTAGCTACTCTTATAGCTTAAGTCATCTTTCGAACTCATAGCAAGTGGCGGCATGCATTATCGCCTTGTTAGCGCCAATGGCGACAGAGTATTGTAATTTCGAACCCAAAGTTATAATTAAGACAAAGCAGAATAACAAAAACTTGACTTGGAACCAACGAAAACACAAAGCAAAAACAAGTAAAGTGCTCTAAGGGCGGGAAAACGCGAAATACCCAGTCACGAACGGTTTTAGTTTTTCACCTGATCGAGGGAAATGGAGGCAGACGCTTACCAAAACAAACACCTAGTGCCCAAAAGCACAGCCAATGCATTCAATGTAATCTTTTAAGCATTCAATTACATGAGAAAAGCTGGTCGTTCCCAGACCGTCTGGGGACAGATGCACATATAACTTGCACATTTCACTTCCTCCTTACACTACACAGGAATCTGATACAACTACCATTTCCTACCTCGTCTCGTTTGCCTGTAAAGTTTTCTCCAGTGTGCGAATATTTTCCTCTTTCTTTCGCACAGACTGATCCAGTTTGCCATTAAGGTTGAGCGTCTCGTCTAGCCTGAAAGAAAATCGCAATGGTTCAACTAAGTATCCTCCAAATTATCCCTAGCATGTCCAACATGTTCTTGACAGAGAACGAAGTACCTCATCTTTTGAACACAACACAAATTTCCACTCACCTTTTTACTCCCAAACTCAGTTGTTCTCATTGTTCACCATACATTTCTTATAGTTATAGTTTTGAGAATTTGGTGTTAAATCCACTCAAATCCCGTGATGGATATTTTTTCCCTCACGTTTCCTTTCTACTTGAATATGAATTTGAACTTTTGATTTTGAATGGAAGGGAAAGTTTAAATTTCTCAAGTTTGTCATCTACAGTTTCTGTTAATGTTCTCAATGCTACGCCTTCCTTTTATCCTTTTCCCTTAAGTGTGAATTTACCCCTGACAATTATCATTTCAAACAATCTTTTCATTTTGAGCAGAGCGCTTCAAAGAGCCTCAACGTAGCTCTTTCACCAACAATAAATCTGATAAAGAACAAAGCAAACAGCGCCCCAGCTAAGAAGACTCGCCATGATTAAAATAATTTTCTTTAAAAAAATTACCTTTTCTGAAGAGTCTCAATTTTTTCGTCTTTAGCTCGTATCTCACTTTCATGACTGGCGAGTTCGCTTTCTGCACTTTCAACTCTGAGGAAAAAGAAAGAAAATGAAGAGGTCAACGCTAACCAAATGCTCCCGGTCACTACTAAAGTCTTTAATAGTTCTCTCTATATCATAAATTAATGCTTATGTTAGTTGGCACTTTTTATCGGTATATAATCGCTTTTGGCGTTTGCACTGTCCATAGTGTGAACCAGGTAAGAAACGAATGGGAATTTATATCGGTATATAATCGCTTTTGGCGTTTGCACTGTCCATAGTGTGAACCAGGTAAGAAACGAATGGGAATTTAAGTGGAAAAGGCAGAAATACTAACATGTTTTACTATTTGCAAACAAATAGTTGCGGGAAGGCACACCTGTGAAATCTTACCCTCTACTTTTTCTCCCGGTGAACATACCGAACGAAAAAAAGCGCCGACAAAGCGAGAAATACAAAGATGGAATTTTATGAACAAGCTAGTCTGTTCGGTTAGGTTATTTTCTAATAAGAGAGCAGAACGGTGATAAATCATAAAACTAGCCTTTTAATTAAGGCCATTAACTTACTTTGTCTCCAAGTTTTCTATCCGGGCATCTTTCGTCTTCATAATTTGGTTCAGCTTTCGGATCTCACGGGTGGTCTCCTGTGCTTCGATAAGCCTATTAACAAATAACGAAATATTTTGTTCAAGAACTATTCCACTTTGCCTCGCGAGAGAAATACTCCAAAAAGCCTCATTTACTATCTGCCGTTCCTTCATATCTAACAAAACTACGACGAAATAATATATATGGCAGCTATTTTCAGTTGTCGTTTCGATTTGCTTTTCAAATTCAACTCATGCGCAACGATGTGCTACACTAACTTTTAAGTGTGTTGGGACACACTGACGTAAAAGCAAAACCTACGTAATCATAAAGCATTCTCTGAAAAATAACATAAGAAATCGAAGAGCAAATACGAAAACGACCTGAGGCGCAGGAAAACGAAAGTGTCTAAACCGAAAATGGTTTTTTAGTTGCATATGAGTGATTGAGAAGATGGCGCAAGTTTCTAGACCATTCACTGACGACCGAGCGGGGTAAAGCAATCCAATGTTAACCCACATTACGCACGCGTCAAACACTGAAAAAAAAACTTTCTCCAACATTCGCCCACATACTTTGCCTGTAACTCGGCTATGACCATCTCCTTCTCGCCAACTGTCATGTCCAGCTTTCTGTATCTGTTCACAGTACCTTCCAGTCTGCATAACGACGATAACAAAATTAAAAAATATATGTTACCAAATCACATCTACTTTCTTTGAAAGAAAAAATACTCCTTCTCATCAGCTAGAACAACTTAACCAAAACTCATTGGGAAGGGCATGGAGATAAAATACCCATAAGGAAGACTTCAAGTTTTAAATATTTTGTCTGAAACTTTTAGACACATTTTTCCTCTCAAAAATTTGGATAAACATAAACTAAAGAATCACATTTACTACAAACATGAACGGCAAAATTAACCTCCACGCTCCCTTTATCCTTAAATTGACATTTTCCAAGATGAAATTCTACAAAATTAGAAGAGCGCCCTCAACTATAACAAAAACAAAAACGTACTTTGACTGCAGGTCGTGGATTTTTCCTTCTCTTTCTTCAACGTACTCTTCAAGCCTATTTGTCAACGAAAAACAAAGTATTATATCTTTGCAACCAATTGATGGCATGCCCCACAATTTGTTCCTTTGCTGCGTCACGGCCACATCTTCTATTGTAAAGGCCACACTTTACCATGCTTTTCGTAAGGGGTACGTCATCAGGATGAAAAGTATTCGAAGAGGTTTCTTATGTTTGGTACTGGGTAGGTCTTTCTTTCATACTTTCTTTCTAATTTGGGGATTTCAGTGGAAAAGATACAAAAGATGGAGTTCTGTCTGTAGACCTTGCGGTGTTGAAAACAAATAAGAACGGGCAACAGGCAACAAATCACACACATTCCCCCTCTTCCCAAATCTGAGCTATTCATTTAAGTTAGGACTAGGTACAGGTTGGCAAAATAAATTAATAGGAGGAGAGGGGGAACGATCTTATAATGCAAAAATGATTTCACTTATTCTGCCACCGATTGCAGACAGGATAATCAATAAAAATACATCATAGTTACCAAAGGTTAGAGTGATTATTAGTATTATTAGTTACTGATCAGGACTGTTAAGGTTAGCGTAATATCTACAATACGACTGATACCAAATCGGTGCTGTTAATATAATCGTGATTTCAATTGGCAGGGTAACTACGTATGCAATTATTGAAGTTTAGATGTCAACCATTGTGCATGTCGTAAAATAGGTTGTGGTTATTCTTCGTGGTAACTAACACTTGAAAAGAGAAAAATAATCGTTTTTCTCACGATGTGGTCACTTTGGATGTGGATCGCGACGCTTCGACAGCATACTGCTAGTCTTCTTCAGGCGAGGAACATAGAACTGGAGAAGACTAGCAATATGCAGAGGACTAACAGTACGCAGTCAAAACGTCGCGACCCACATTCGAAGTAACCACATCGCGAGAAAACGATTATATTTCTCTTTTCAACCATTGTGCACATTACACCAAATTCTAAAAGGAAGCACATTGTTATGAAAAGTTACTATTGAAAGTGAAGGTAATAAATAGTTCAAAGCACGCCAAAGACTCAAAGAGCGAATTAAGAAAAGCTCTAACACCAAAATGAGATGGTGTTCGTAGACAGACGCTCCTCTCGGCCGCACCGTTTCAACTTACTTCGTTCTTCTTTTTTCCAAGTCTATTATTTTATCTTCTCTTCTTTTCACACTGTTTTGTCGAGCCACTTTTTTACAGGTTTGTTCCTCCAAGCTGCAAACAAACTTAGTCAGTCCGTGAAACCCGACTCCTGCCTTCAAATAGGCAAAGGACAGTATGAATAAAGGGGGTAAGTTTCTAAAGAAACTGTGGTGCTGCGTCGGTGGGAAAGTATAATAGGGTAATTTAGAATTATCAACTGAGTTGATAACCTAAATTGGCCACCGTAAAAAGTTTCAAAGCTAACGTTTCGAGCGTTAGCCCTTCGTCAGAGCGAATGGAGGAATTTTGACATGTATGTGTGTTTATATGCAGAGGACATAGTAATTGGACACAGAAATTGGACTAGAAATGCGGTTCACCATTGCATTGATTGGCACAGCAAGCAAAGACTTTTTAAGATAAATAGCTTTTCTTTCATAAATATTCAGCAAGAGTAGCATGAGGGAAATAGCATTGGAAGCAGCCGATTAGAAAACTGTGACAAAGAGAACAATTTCAATTATTCAAAGGAAAACGTGAAAAATAAACTCGATCCGATTCGAGGAAAAACAAACACTACAAAGCGCGCCTCATTGGTTACTTCCTAACAACCAACTTTATGTTCTTAAGCGACTTATCCAAAAACTTTTGCCAACGAGTTGCGTTTCGCGGAGATTATTATTTAAGGTGTCCATCCAACGTTCTAATTAGCTAACATGCCTCAGTACCCCGCGAAAAATTCATCCCTTTTACAACATTTAAATCGGGGTTATCTTGATGGTTCCAATTCTACACTGACTTAACTTAATGGTAAAGTTAAAAATTCAGCCTTTTTACATTTAGTTTTAGGAAATACAATTAAGAATAGATATCAAGAAAATTAAGTTAATGCTTGGCAACTTAAAAAGTAATCAGCGTCTACTCTAGGCAGCAGATAACAAGCTCCAAATATTCGAAGCAAACGTGAAAATAATCAAAACAGGATGCAAAAAGATGCTTAACTAAAATCAGTTATGCAACATTTTACTCTAAGTATGAATGTTTTATCAATACATTCATTTGGTACGTCTTTTAATTTATTTTATCATTGGAGCATTTGCTGGCGTTTGTTTTAGCATCTAAAGATAACGAAAGCTTGAGGGCTCGTGTTGGTTGTGCTGTATCTAAACGGTGAATTTTTTTCTGCAACAAGGGTGCACCAATCACTACGTCTCTTTAAATATGTACAAAATTACTCAATGTCCACAAATGAAACAGCCATGAAACCGTGACAACTTGCTTCTATTCACCCGATCGTTTATCTTCAAACTTTTTATCCGTAAAACAAATTCAATAAAAGTACTAACTTCTTCTCCAAAGCTTTGATTCGCTCCTCAGCTTTCATTTTCATGTCTCTGTATTCCTTGTCTCTGTTGTCTAGTTGTTCTTCCATCTCGCCAAGCCTGCACACACAAACTTCATTTAGTTCCATTTTTTACGGTTCTTTTTATTTGGTCACTGCTCTTTAAGTTGTTTATATAACTAAGGACAACCTTTTATTTGCATTAAAAAAGCTCTGCCCATCTATTTTTTGAAGCATTGATAAAACGCTTTTCACTTTACCTGGTTTCAAAGCTGGAGATTTTCTCATCTTTGTTCTTCACAGTTTGGCTTAATTTATTGTTGATGTTTACGGCATCTTCTACTTCGTCCAGCCTGAAAACCCAAAATAAGTTTGAACATTTAATATTTCATATTTCCAAACCACATATGATTCCAAACCAAGGTTCGGTTTGTCGCGTCAATTTGCGTTTTGTTAATTGAGAGTGATCACTATAGTAAAAACTTCATTAATCGCAGTTTTTACTCTGTAATATATCGTTGTTTTATAGGTGAGTTCCTGTACATGCGGCGTGCGAGCAGAGGCAATACATAAACACTGAAAACGATTAGCCCATCGGTTCCGTCTGCTAAGATTTATGACTGAGTTACGTCACAAATGTGTCGACCGCTGAACAATGTGAACAAGGTACTCCGATGTTGAAAAAAAATTAGCTGCGCGCAATTGACTCTCCAGTTTAAAATCAATTATCTCACCTCTCTTGAAGTCGAACAATCTTATCATCTTTTTGCTTGAGGTAATCTGACAACTTGGCGTTGCGAGAAGTCAATTCTTCAAATTCTACCAATCTGAAAAAAAAAAAACCCACCGCAGTAATTCAAACGTGTGTTTGACTATGAGAAAAAGGAATTTTTGAATGAATTGTCTAATCAACGCTTTCTTACGGCACAAAGCCAACATGATCCTTGAAGATCAATTTCCTTATCATTATCCCTGACCACGCGCAAGCATGTGTCTGGGCAGGGCCTTACTTGTTTTCCAACGCTTTGATTTTCTCGTCTTTCAGTTGAACGGCTTGGTTAAGCTTCTTCGTCTCTGACATGAGCTCATCTAGAGTTTCCACACTGCGAAATATAGAAAGAGACTGTTGTACTTCTACAAAACAAACGGGTCGATTGAGGTGATAAAAATGAACGTCACTGCCAAGCTAAAATGAAGGGTGGGTACGTGGAGGACCTAATGGCTTCCACTTTGCCAACCAGCCAGGCACCTGTCAACACGGAATCAGAATGGATTCACAGAAAGGAAAAGAGAGAAGTGAGGGGTGGGGGAATACTTGAAAACAACCGCTTTCAGGACTGCTGAGGAACGGCCGCCACTAAAATGCTCGAGACCCTCAAGATGTTAGATGTAACGATTTCGCAAGCCTGCATTTGTGACGATGACAGCTGACTTTATTAGCCCGCTAGGCTCGTAGTGGTTAATTTTGTTACACTGTCTTGTAACTTAATAGGCTACCTTTCCTCCAGTGTTGTGATCTTCTCCTCCTTCATTTTTAGACTGTGCACCAGTTTATGATTACGAGCCTGGGCATCCTCCAGCCTGTGTGACGAAAGAAAACGAACATGAACCTTGTGAAACGTTTAACGAACCTAGCAAAACGAACGCAGGCACATTTAAATCGCGTTGAAACTTCCGGCGAAATTGTGATGTTATACCCAGGAACCAGGAAACAGGGCCTCTCGATCTGTAGTCCAGTGCAATGGTAGTACCAGTGTCAGTCACAAACAACCTGCTAAAGCCGTGATTAACCTCTACGTATAGTAGAAAATTCAAGTTTTTCCTTCTCCCTTACTTATTTTCCAGTTCAGCAAGCTTTTCCTCTCTTTCCTGAATGACCTGATTTAACGCGGAAACCTTCTCGTCCTTCTGTTTGATATTTTGCTGCAGAAGATGCGATGAGCCCAAGGACTCTTCAAGTTCTAAAACCCTGTAAATTGGTTTAAAAGCGGATTAACCATTAAGGATGAAACAAGAACTTCTTGCTGTATTGCAAATGAATAACAGTCCTTCCAAGACTGGATGTCGTTATGTGCGCTATAACTTGCTGATACAAATTCTCTAACATACTTGTTTTCCAGCGATCTTATTTTTCCATTTTTCTGCTCGATACTAAGCTGTAATCTCTGGTTGTCGCTTGACATTTCTTCCAGCCTGTAGAATCAAAACAGAAGCTTATGCTATAATGAACGATTGAATTACTATAATGCGCATTGAAGATCAGTTCTTACTTCGTTTCTAGATCCAAAACCTTTTTCGTTTTCTGATCCAAACTATGGGTCAGCCTGTTCTTCTCGGACGTTAAATTTTCGACATCTTCAATCCTGCATGGAAAAAACGCAGTGATGAATGTCTTTCAAAACAATTCCAAATCTTATCACATTAATTTGTTAAGAAGAGAAGGTTTATTTGTGGAGCTGTCTTTTCTGAATAAAATAAGTATCAAATGATCGACAATATCCGCGGAAGCGGGTGTGTATATTTTTTAGTACTCATTGATTTGCATGTACGTACTTAAAACCCAAAATTTATCTGTGAATCAAGTACGTTACAAAAAAAATCATACTTCGTTTCTAACTCGGTAATCTTCTCCTCCTTGATTTTCAGACCTTGTTGGAGCTTACAGTTGGCCAATGACACATCCTCCAATCTAAAGCGAAAGAAGTAAAACACAGTCAGGTAAAACTGAACAAAGAGAAAAATAATTTCTTGCCTTTATTTCCTATTAGTATAACGAGCAACGACAAGATAACTACGAAAATCACAGTGCCATTACTATTAACTATTACCGTAACCGTGTTTACTTGACAGAATTAACCAATCACTTCAAGGGAAATATATAATGATTCCAACTACCACTGCTAGTTCCCCGTACGACAATATTCGCCTGAATCACAAACCGTTCACTGGGCCCTAGACGTCTAAACATTCTCCTACTTCCTCACAGATTTCGATGACCCGAGATATATTTTCTTTAGACGAGAGAACATTTCAACTACAAGTCTAAAACAACTTAACTTAGAGATCAGGACTATATATTAGCTCTGAGGCATATCACTCATTATCACCCATCATCTCATACTATTTCATAAGCCAAACCTGCTCTCCAGCTCGATAATTCTGTTGTCTTTCCCTTCTACGTTTCTCTTCATATCCATAAGTCGATCGTCTTTTTGCACCGTGCTGGTATTTTCTACTTCAGCCAGACTGCAAAGCGCAAAACAGAATTACTATATTTTTCCCATCAGCAGATAGAAAACCATAAACCACATACCAGCCATTCTCTGCCCGACCCTCCCTTCCCATGTAGCAAATCACGTATACCTGCTTTCAAGAGCTTCGATCTTCTTATCCTTCAGTTTCGTCATATGCTCAAGTTTTTTCTTCTCACCATTTGATTCCTCCAACCTGAACGACGAAGAAAGAATGCAAACTGTTACCATGGTAAGAGAGGAAAAAAAAAAACTAAAACGGAAAGAATAAATCACAAAGATACGAGGAAGGTGTAGAGTGGAGAAGATTGACATGGATTGCAAAAACAACAAAATACTGGTTTTGTAAGATAGAAAAACACAAAAAAGACTATAATACAAGAAGGTGCAAGAATAGCTAAGTATCGAGAAGATTAACACAGATTAAAAATGACAACGAAGTTTTAGTTTGGATAAAACAGAAAGACACAAAAGAAGCAGCTGGGGGGGGGGAAGTTTCTAAATAAACTGTGGTGCTGTGTCGGAGGGAGAGTATAACAGGGTAATTTAGTATTATCAACTGAGTTGGTAAAGTAAATTGGCCACCGTAAAGAATTTCAAAGCTAACATTTTGAGCGTTAACCCTTCGTCAGAGCGACTGACACACCTGCTTTCGAGTTCCTGTAATAACTTGTCCTTTTCGTCAAAGTACTTGTTCAGTGTTTCTAACTTTTCCTCTTTTTCCTTCACGAGTTGTTTAATTTTTTCTCTCTCGTCCAACGCTTCAGTAAGGTCTTCAATTCTGGAAAATATTTTAAAACAGAATTTCATACAAGTAGACTCGTGAAGACAGTTTTGCTAATTAAGACAACATGGAGGACAAAAGAAAGCTTGCTATGAACTAAATAAAATGTAACCTTGCCGATTATTTCAATTACAATAATTTTAATTTACTCTTGGCAAGTTTGGAGGTCCAAAAGGCCAACAAGGCTTTTTCTGGACTGAAGGGAAAAATTTCAACACAGAATGCTTATTTCTATTAAGTTTCCTCTCTAACTTAGAATACGACCTGTTTTAAATAGATGCTTTCCAAAGAACACAGAAAATTATCCCAAGCGAGGGAAGACATTTGCCATCTTTAAGAAATGCCACGTACACTGTTCCCTGTTTACCTTCTTTCGAGATTTCTGATCTCCTTTTCCTTTTCCTTGAGGTTTTTATTCAGTGTCTCTGAGTTTTCATCCAAGGAAAGCATTAGTTCTTCCACTCTAACGACAACAAAACAAAACATTTCAGGTGACTTTAGGTTTCTGTGTTGCTCTTTGGTTCCCTTCCTCTCTTTCAATTACTTGTTTTATTGCCCCTAGATTTGTTCTCTTAGCTTTGTTCGTTACGTTAGCTTTCCCTGTTCCAAATTCTTTTCTACTTTTTTTTGTATCGTTCACTTCCTCCTTTTTGTTTCAGTGCTTCGTCGTTTTGCACGTGATCTTCGTTTCTTGTACATGTAGTTCTAGCTTCGTCCCACATACGAGGTCGCATTCAGGTTTGTCTGTACGATCCCTTACTACTTATATTTTGGAAACGTCTTGGCCTTGTTGTGACCCTCAGGTCCAAGAAATACAAAAAAATCTACACTTTCTTAAGTCAAAACAGATAGCAGGATACGAAATGTCTTGAACCAACCTTCTCTGCAAAGACTGTACTTTTTGCTCCTTGAACTTAAGCTCTTCTGATATTCTCTCATTTTCGTCAGTGACTTTTTCGAGTCTGTTTCAAAAAGAAGAAAACCACACATTAAGTAACATTGTTCATAATCTCTACATCCACCAACAATTTCGATAAACACGAGCACAAGAGTTTTAGACAAGTCCATCAAAACGGAAAACTAAGGCGCGAAAGCGTGCATAGTCCTTACCCATTTTTCAATTCGTAGACTTCTTTTTCTTTCTTTCTGAGGTTCTCGTCTGTTCTGTTCTTTTGATTGACTGTTTCTTCAACCCTGTTGGATTTAGAGAAACAAGATAGGAAATTAATGGGAAAAAAAAAAACTTAATCAGTACGACCGAGTTTGGCAATTTGATCACATGACGTGAAGATCACGTGTAGCGTGAGTGTATCGGAATAGACATCGCACAAGATGTCTACGTGGACCAAACTCGCGACCTTCGAATTACCACATGAATTATCTACTGAATAATGGAGAATTCAGTTTATAGGCTAAATTTGGCACAACAAAAGCTGTTACGATCCTGTATAAAAGGCCGTCAATCTGCCAGATTACTCGAACCTGTTCTCGAGTTCGTTAATCTCGTCGTCTTTCCTTCTGATGTTCTCTTCGGACTTCTTGCTGCGAGACAAGAAATCTTCGATTCTGAAAAGAAGATCAGCACGTTAAAAGTGGCTTACACAAAATTCATATACAAAAGGACCGAACCCCCCTAATAGAGCTCAAGCCCACGTTACAATCCGTCAAAACCAACTCACCTATTTTCAAGCTCAGCGTTGACTTTCCTTTGCTTTTTCAGCATTTCTTCTGTTTCATTTTGTTCGTCAGCTGCCTCTGTGAGTCTGTGGTAGAAATTAAGCGATAATCTTTCAGTTGCTTTCCAAAGGAGCAGTTTTCAATCGCCTGTCGAAAGTTATCCTGGGTTGGATTAGTCTTGCTTAGCTTAAAGTCGGTGATTGGTCTAGAAAACTCGCGCCACCCCTTAACCAATCAAATGCAACACTTAACCCAATCTCAGCTTGATGACTAGTGTGACCACTTTTATCGCTTTCACTCCCAAAATCCCATTAGTAAATTCTTCTTAGTGTCTGCCCAACAATTCTTACGAAGTTAGTTCGGGGAATTTAGTATTGGATCAACTAATAATCCCCTAATTGACCGTTTTTCTTTATTTTCATCTCTTGCCTGTTTGATATTGTATTGAAATCGGAAGGAAAAATTCTGTCTTGGTCACTCATGGGAGTTAAAGGTCTAAGACACAGCAAATGGTTGATGCACCAAGCTTCGACTACGCCGCTAACATACATTTACGTCTATGTGTACCTTTTCTCAAGACTCTGAATCCGCCTATCTTTAGCTTCAATACTCTCTTTTAACTCCGCAATCACTTCTTCTCTATCTTTCATCTTTTGAGTGATCTTCGCAACGATGTCGTCTTTTTCCTTCACCGAATCTTGCAACTCTGAAATTTCTTTTTTCCTCTCTTTTACTTCCAAGTTTAAATCTGCGAGTTTTTCTTCCTTCCTCTGCACCAACCTCGTCAACTCCGCAATCTTCTCGCCTTTACTCTCGGACTGTTCTGCGAGGTTTTTTATTTCATGTTCGTTTTCTTTTACCCGCTGATACAATTCCATAACGTTTGCTTGTCTCTCTTCGGCTACCCGGCTGAGTTCTATTATTTTCTCTTGTTTTTGCTCAGCATCTTGGTTTAACTGTGTGAGTTTGACGTTCTTCTCTTTCAGCTCTTCAGCCAGATCAACAAGATTCCGTTGTTTCTCTTCTGAAAGCTGAAAGTTACTGAAAGACAAAAGGTTCGATGGAAAAAGCTAAGAGCCGCGTTCAGCTGTTCTTCTTAAAGCTAAATTAACTTTTGCTACCTAAGCTTAAGCCGACCATAAGCAGACGTTCAATCACTGCGTTAGATACTTCTACGAGATCAATTTTCAATCGAGTGTCGAAAGTAAACCTTACCGGGGTAGCTTTGGTTTTTTTTACTTTGCTTTATGATTGGTTTAGAAAACTCGCGTGACTCCCTCAACCAATCAGATGTAAAAATTAAAAACCAATCACGAATTGGTCGCACGCGTTTTTCCGCGTTAGTTTTATTTTGAGTTCTAATTGGCTTTCAAGGAGTTTTCCTTTTTCTGATCAGCCGCCGTGATTACTTTGGCTTTGGTTTTAAGATTGAAATCGAAAAGAACTCTATATTCCTTAGACGTGTGGTTTAACTTTATATTGACAAAAAAAGGCCCATTTCGTCATTAAAGCCAAGGATCACACTTACAGTAAATTTTGCTCTTCGACTTGAGCCATTTCGACGCCTTTCTCCCTCAGTTCTCCAGACAGGTTTAGCACATTGTCCACAGAAGTCTTCAGCTCTTCTTGTTGTTGCTTCACAACAGAGCGCATCTTGTTTAAGTCATTCTCCAGCTGTAAATTTCGCGCTTTTAATTTTGCAAGCTCCTGTGTAATTCATTGAAGGTCAATCGTTAGTACTTCACTGCACATCGTTACTCCGCATCATTTTCAAAGCAATTAACTTGCACACATTCAAAAGTGACGGCTTTTTTCAAGTAACTAGAGCCTCATCTCTTTTTTTCCTTTCTCGTTATATAAAGGGAATGACACAAGTACTCTTGCCTGGAAAAAGGGTACAAGTAAGAAAAAAACTCCCAGATCAAATTTGTAATTCTCCTTACTGTCAACCATACAATTCTTATAATGTTAGCTCAGAGAATTTAGTATTGGATCAACTAATTATCCCCAAATTGATATTTTTCTTTATTCTCATCACTTATCTGGTTGATATTGTATTGATATTGTAAGGAGAAATTCTGTCTTGGTCACTTGTGGGAGTTCAAGGGTTAAAGGGAGTGACATCAACTAAATGGGATGTGGATCCATGCAAATCAAAATTTTAATGGAACTTTTGAACAAAACTTCACACATTTACGAGTTTTTAATTTGTTTCGGTGATCGATAATAAAAAGAGAGAAACAGCAGTCACAAAATTGTCATCTTGAAAGAAGTTACGTCGTCGTTGTTATCACGGTAATATTGTTGAATTGTTGTCTTTGTTTTGCTTAAACAGTTGTTTTTGTGTCCATAAATAATTAATAACGTATTAATACCGTGCACTACCGAGTTGCATCGACTCACCTCATTCAGGTGAAATACTGTTGTTTTCCCTTCCAAGGTCGCCTTCTGCAGCTGTTCATTTGCAGTTTCCAGTTCAATGATCCTTTGATTCGAGTTTTTTAATTCGTCGATGGTTTTCCTAAGTTGTTGGTTTTCTTTTTGCATTCGAAGAACTTCAATGGAGCTGAAATAGAACATACCAAATCTTCAATCTTCCCATACTATATAACAGAAATTCTCGGTAAACCCTTGATTTTTTACGTCACTTTGCTCACATAGGCATTTGACTTGTGAAAGCTGTTTCCTCTAGCAAATAATAAGTTACAGAGCAATTTTCTCTTGTATCGGAAATAATCCGGGAGTAATTTGTTTGTGTTTTATTCCGCTTTGTGGTTGGCCCAGAAAACACGTGCTACTCTTTTAACCAATCAGGTACAAAACTGAAACCAATCACGGCTTGGTCGTGATTGGCTGATTGAACTCTCCGCTAACAAACAATCCGATAACTACTTGGCAAGTGAATTAGTAGAAGATATGAATTTTTTAAACCAATCACAATCAAGGATATTGTAATTTTTATGTTTAAGTGTCATAAACTAGCACTACAGAACTCACAACAACCAATCAGAAGAAAGTCAATTATCACAAGGAGACAATAAAAGAACTGGCGATATACTGTGCCACGTCAATGTTTTACCTGGACTCGCTAAATTCGCTGGCAAACGTTGAGGAACCTGTAAAAAGGAAAAAAAATTCGTAAATGGTAAAACATTTGCAAATCACTTTTAAGGAACGTGAGAAGGTGGAATGTGGCCGAACGTTACACACAGTCGGTTACACACAACGCGACAATCATTCTGCTATAGTAGGCGTCAGAGGCAAAGGCACTTTTAAAGGTTCGGTACCTGGAGATTTCTTCCCGCGGAGTGCATCTACTTCAGACGTTAGAGCGGCAGCCTCAGACATGCTAAGACCAACACAAACAAAACATGTCAGTAACTTTCAAACCACTCCATCATTTTTTTTTTCGTAGTGTCTAAACGCCCAGCAATCAGAAATTTTAACAGTTTCTTTAAACTTCTTCAGAGTATTAGATGTTTCTCGAGAAATTTCAAAAAATCAGTGTGGTCTTTTGGTGGACGAATTACGGTGCATACCGTAAAATTGTTAGATTTTCGACACTTGAACACTTGCGGTATCAACAAGCTCAAAGAAAATCTCCACTAAGAAACCATCGTAATTTTTGGAGTCATACATCCAAAGAGGTCTGCATGAGGTATTTTGTGACAGCTTTTCTGACTGCCGGGCACGGTCTCAAATAGAGAAAAATTATCTTTAGACCACAAAATACTGGTTTAAGAAGATGAGAAAATAACAAAATGGAAAGCATTGAGAACATTAACGCGCTCTGCGAATAACAAATCTGAAAAAAAATAGGCTTAACGATTCAAGATGCCAAAACTGTGAGGCTACTTCTTCAAGTTAAGTTCCTGTAGACTGTTTTAGAAGCAAAGTATAGTGAAAGGAAAGAGGCGAAGAGAAAACCCTCTCATCAATACAACTAATAAAACTAAACAAGATAATTTGGTTTTATCATCTGAACTGATTATGTAAAGAGTTGCTGAAGCTGACGGTGTGAACGTTATCCTTTCGTCAGCGAAAGGATAAAGTCATTCATCAGAGCGAAAAAATATATTTGGGACAGATTACCTGTTCTGTTTGTCTACAATTAGCTGAGCATTTTCTTCCATCACTTCCTTTAACTTTAGTTGGTCGAACTGCCTCTCCTGAATGACAAAGATAATACATAGTTACAAATAAAAACTCTTGGAGCAATTTAGATCCAGCGATAGAGCAACGCGACATCTGTGCTTTCATCTAGAAGGTGCTTAATTTTTTGCGCTCACTTCTACAGACATACAACCCATGCAAAAAATAAATAATTTGTAATTAACAAAGAATTAAGAAATCTTTAAGGTTGTCCTATAATCCGGAATTAGTTACTCACCTCTGCTAAATGATGAATGTGAGACTTCAACTTTTTATTTTCTTCCTCCAATATTTCTAAAAAAAAACAATTTATAACGTTACAACTTTGCCTATAAAAGCAAAAGAAATGGAAGACATCTGTACTTCTCAAATACCTTTCCTAAAATGATCCTCTTATTCAAGGAATTTACTCACCGATTCTTTCTTCTTTGGAGTTAATTCCAGCCACTTGTTCTTCCAGAACAAGTTTGGTTTCATATAATAACTCATTCTGTTCTTTCAGTTCCTGTTAAAATAAAACAAGAGTAACGTAAAAAAGTTTTTCTGTTGCTCGTCACATGTACTGGAGCACATTTTGACTGGATGTGGAAATGTCAAATCCAACAGTGCTAGTTACCGAGTCACAGTCAATGTTAATTCTTGCAGAAGACTTACATTTTAAGGCATGTGAGTTCTCTTAGCACATGATAGAAAGAAACTCCACATGGATACAATCCAGAATTATGTTAGAAACTCTACTCCTAGCTTAAACCATCCGAACATCGCGGTCTTTTTTCTTCATACAGAAACTTTGTAGTATGTTTCTGTATGAAGAAAAATTTCCATTCTTCTTCGCTTTCTGGGTAATGGCCATCAGAAAGAGACGCCAGGCTACATAAAGGTATATAAAACATATCTCATGACTGATCGGTGCTATATTCAAGGAATTGCCCATAGGAACCCTTCAATTATCTAACTTTCATTCATGTAATGTGTGTGAAATTATGTACATTTACATAGTTTTCTTTACAGTGCACGATTGAGCACAACTCTACCATATATATAACTGAATTCACCTCTGCTCTCTTTTTGTAGTAATCTAAATCCCGTAGCTTTTCTTTAAATCTCTGGTTGTCAGCCTCAAGTCTATCAACTTTGTCCGTCTGAAGAGGTAAACATGATGATTGTTTGAACAGGAGACGAAAATAATAACAAACTGCAAAAGGGTCCAACATTATACAAAAAATGGATATAATTTCAGAGTGGCACCTCCACAGAAAAGTTCTGCATCTACTGATTCCCAGTGGCAATGGAGTTTTGAAAGCTGAGTTTTTCACACCAAAAAACACTAGAGGAGCATGATAAAACCCATGCAAGAGTACAGGAAACAACAACAAAAAACTGCAACCGCAAGTGGCACTAGATGTGGGAGACGAACCTTGGCCACTGGGTCGTGAAGCAAGTGCTCTTGTCAATGTGCCACCCTTGCTCCCCAATATATCTAAGTATATGCACCTGATTACAACTAAGAAAATTAAAACGCCCAAAACACCATGATACCTTTGACTTCAGTGCATCAATCTCATCTCTGTAAGCTTTCACCCATCGGGCATCTTGGGATAAACTCTTATTCTAAAGAGGATCAATTTAAAAGAAAATGAACATGTGGCTGGCCAACTTCAAATAATTGTGATCCATGACAGATCTCAGTTGAAAAAGTCCTTAGTCTTTTTTATTTACCTCCTGCCTTAGTGCCTCCAAACCCTTTTTGCTGGCCAGCAGCTCATCTCGAAGTTCTGCGAGGGCAACATTCTTTTCCTCTCTGAAAAAAAAAAAAGAACACAAACGATCTAAGCCATTTTTTTCATCTTAGGTATACTGCACCTACAAAATGACTGCATGTCCGGGTTCAGTACATACCTAACAAATGCGGCTCTAGTTAACATAAAGTGTATAACACAATACATGTCGTTTGGATACAACTGAACAGACAGTCTCACTTACATTTCCTCAGTGAGAAGTCTGATCTTTTCCTTGTTAGCATATGTAGAAGTCAACTCTTTGCTGTGACTGACAGCAGGGCTTGCTGGTGGTGAAAATGGACGACGACCCTTGGTCTTGAAAGAAGGAAATCAAGTCGTGATTATCACAGATTTTTGAAGTCAATAACCAACACAACTGTACTGGAATGTTTTATTCAAATAATTTTTACAAAAAAATCAACTCTACAGGGAGAGAACACAATTGCCATTTAAACTAGGCTCACTTCACTATCACGGAGAAGTGCATCTCTTTCGTAAGACAGGTGTGACATCATCTGATGAGAAAAACAAATCAATTGCAGATGAAAGATCTGATATCAAGTAACATTACATTGACTGGTGTACAGAGGAGGAAAATAGTTAATATACTTATCAACTTAAGGATTTTTTGTTAACAGAAATAACACTCTCAAACTCTTGAAACTAAATGTTGCGAGAACTACACATACAATGTAAAAGGGAGAACTGATACTGAGCTCCAGGGAATGAAAAGGATTAAAAAAACATTGACCCTTTGACTCCCAAGGTCTCATTTATAATTAGTAATTCTCCTTACTGTCTGCCAAAAAATCCTTATGATGCTAGTTTGGAGAATTTGGTATTAGATCAACTAATAATCACCTAATTTATATTTTTCTTTATTATCATCACTTATCTGCTTGATATTGTATTGATATTATAAGGGGAAATTCTGTCTTGGTCATCAGGCGAGTTAAAGAGTTACCATAGTTGAAAACTGCTTGTAATGTCAACAAGAATAACCAAAATCAATTTCCCAAAGATTAGAGGCACCACTGACTATTCCACAAAAACTGTTTTACAGCAGACTGCAACCTAATGTCTTTCAAACTTCATGAACTAGTTGAAATAATATTATGTTACAGCTGTATATCAAAATACAATGAAGAAAATAATTTCTCAAAAATGAAATGAAATAAGATCTCAAGAGGACCAATTCACAGTAGCACTTACCCCTGAACAGTTGTCTCTGTCCTCAGCCAACTGTGTCATGTGATAAAACATACTTTCCGCAAAACCCAACAACTGCCTGTTTCCAGACAAAAAACATAAAACTTTGATGTTGGTTTTGAGTTATAACATCAAGATTCTTAGTTTGTTACACTGTAAAACAAGTGACCATGAGGCACAGAACCATTCCAAATGTTAATCATTTCCCAAACATTTCATCTCATCTGAATCAGTTGAGAAGATCTCTTTAAAATGAAACCCCAACACTTTCTTCTTCAATTAGAGAGGTGTGGTCTAAATTGCAAAATTTTCTTTTCCTAATCCCAGTATTTTTACACACTGAAGGGAGTGAGTCAAGTTACTCTGCAAGTAGGTTTATGTAGGTAAACACATGTACATGTAAAATCAACACACTCAGACATTTCCTAAAAGCTAATACAGTACAAAAATGTATGTCATCACTCACTCAGCAGAATATTCAGCCAAGTCATGAGGTCGGAAGGTGAGAACATTGTCTGGATTGTCTGTGATCTAGTGAGAGTAAGAAAAATGAATTTTCCATCACATTTTCATTACTTAAAATCATTTAAACTATATTCACTTGTACACTCTGGAGGAGAATGGGGAAGCATGCTGCAAAAGCCATAAGCACTTGTGTCATATAATGTACATATTAAGACCTTCAGCCTTAAAACATAATTTCAAGTACAATAGACATCCTGAAAAATTGTGCACCACAAAGATTTACAATTATCCAATTGTAGTTATAATCGTATTCATTTCATTGAATGCACATTGAAATACAATGTGCAAAGACTGGGAAAACCTACCAAAAGTAACCTGGCCAATGTTTTAGTGTTGTCATGACACCAATGTCAAGGTAAGTAAGGAAGATATTGAAGGTAGTAATCAATGATAATGATGATAAAGGAAGAGTGCATCACAGGGAACCTGGCTGGGAATCAATACAAGCAAAAGCATTCCAAAATGTAATTCTGGAATTTCATAGCATGACCATAGTAACAATAACAATCATGTGTTGAATGATATTGTGATTGCTTCTATATTTCCCTTGGTTACCTTGACAATGGCATCAAGTTGACTGCAAAACATCATTTCCTTTGGAAGTTTCGTTGAATATTCCAAAGTTAAAATTAATATAGCAGGCTAAGTGGTAGCCAGGTAGAGGAATAAACCTGGAACCTGCACTTGAATACAGGACTTGCATCCCAATTACATTGATACATTGCACATCAGAGAATCAACCATAAAACACAGACATATAACCTACCTGTTGGATATGTTCCACCAAAGATCTTTGAACTTCAAGGTCCATCTCTTTGATTCTTTCAATAAAGTGCTCCTTATTATCACACTGAGACAAAAGAACAGAGTTTATGTTCAGTGAACATACAATAAATTGCACAGCAGACAAATATCACAAGAAATGAAATTTTTTTTTTTTAATTATTACACAAAGAGTCAAAAAGCAGAGAACTTTCCCCCCTCCCCAATACACAAAGCCTAAATTGATACTATTAGCATAAGTAACACCATGACTTTGATTGCAATTTGGAGTCAATAAGCACTCATAAATTTTTCGACGACAACAAAATTGCACAAGCCCGTAGGGCAAGTGCAATTTGCAGGCTTCGAAAAATTTACAAGTTCTTGTATGTACACCACATTGTACGAGAAATCATGTTGTTACTTGTTAATAATTTACATGAAAATTCATCACAGAAAGTCAAGGCAGACAAAATTTTGGTAGCCTGCTTGTGCTATTTGTAATTTTCCCTCATGTGACATGAAAAGTGCTCTCACTTTAAGCTAATCAGATATACAGAATTATTTCATGTAATTATTAATAATCTAAGACTGCTTTGTACATGTACCAGTCTCTGCCAAAAAACTGAGACAAGTTTAAAATCTGGACACATATGATTCAAACAAAATAAAAGATTCCCAGATACAACCATCCCTTAAGAGAAAATTGTTTTATCTTTTCATTGTACACATAATTATAATGTAATGTTACTTCCTCCCTACTGCTTAGAGAAAAAAAAAATTTTAACCAAATTTTCTATTATTCAGGAAATTTGGTAAACCCTGCAGAGGATCAGGAGATTTTTTCTGAATCCAGGAAAGTCCCAGATAATCAAGAGAGAAGTGGAAATACATCTTTTCATGCACATTATTGCTGAGCCTCTAACTACAACATTATCAACAAATTTGGTTTTGTTATTTAGCCAAATTTTATCATTTTATTTTTTTATGATTACATGTAACTTCCAACAAGAACCTGTTATGCTGTCACCAAGAATGTACATGTGAATTTTTTCTATAATCTGATACTTACCTGGACAGCACAACCCAGCATCAACAGCAGGATCTTGGTGAGTTCTTCTGCTGCTTCATCTGAAGGATTATTTGTATTCATTTCAAAACACAGCAAAATAATTATTATTGTGTCCTTATCATATGGAAAATAACAAAAGGAGTGCTATGTCCAAACTAGATAACTCTAGTAGAGAATTTTCCCAATCACTTTTCTAAGAAAATATTCAGGGACATCTTGGAAAGCACCAGTTATGATTGGGTTTTTGTTATGCTTCTGCTGTGTGGTTACCACAACATACCAGTCATGTTTTGTGTGATTTTTATGTAACAAATACCATTGAAATGAAAAACAATGTTTAAAACAATTCACTCACTTTAAAAAAAGCCCAAACAACACCTTTTAATAACAAAAAAAAACCTTTTGTCAACTCACCACTCTGTGGTTCACGAGCTATTGTCACAATGTCTGGAATTCTTAAAATAACAAGCTGCTGTAGTTTCTCCTAAGAAGGACCACAGAGGACATGGAAATATCAATTATTATTCTTTATAGTAAATGGTTTAAATTAGAATATCAGTATTTCCATGGAGGACCAGGGAGAATAAAATAAAGCAACCAAAGAATATTCTTAAAGTCTAGAGACAAAATGGCTCATGCTATCTAAATTTATCCAAAGAATTCTCCAATCTTTGATACTTAATTAACACACTGAGTATTGATTTGATTAACACCAGGAATAACATAATTATACATGCATTGCTATAACTTTTGTACATAAGAAATTAAAACAACAATTTCTCTCCAAAATCTTGTACAGAAATACATGCAATCAAGTTCTTAGAATCAATCCGTTGCATTAAATTCACTCAACACATATCTCACTGATTTCTAAAAATATTTGCTCTCACATATTATTACAGTATATTTGAGAAGAGCATATGCCATATTCCAACTTTAATAATGCAGTGTTTACATGTAATACTGCCACATAAAACAATATTCACAAACAAAGAGCATTTCAAACATGAATCTCAATTATACTGACACAAGCAAATATTTTGAAAATCAATGAACAAGACTCTCAACTTTTAATTCAATTAATAACTGTTAGTTCTGCCTAAAAATTACTGCATATTTACAACAGCAACTTTCCAATCAATTTTGTTTTTGTAACATCACTGAAGCATTCAGTGATAACATGCTGGCTAAAAAGATATTTGGCTGCCAGACAAGTGTTAATTGAATGTTGTGTCTGACCCAGACTGTCAAACATGTGGGAGATAATTTGATTTAAAGATTTGGAAAACTTCATGTCACTCTAACAAAGAAAACAATAACAAATCTCCTATGCTGATAAAGTCAGTGGATGTTGAAAGAACAACAAACAGACCGCAAAAAATTGAATAGATTATCTTAAACACCACTTGGAAGAGAAGTGTGTTTTATGACTAGAAAAAATATTTAGCATTTATTTCAAAGTAAATGCAATGAGCCCATGCAATGTAACAAACTTTGAAAGCCAAAACCATGTCATATATATTTTTATTGTCACTTTGAGAATATCTTATTCAAGTTTCAGTAATAATTATAATAATATTATCTTTAACTGCATCATTTAGCAATACAGAAATCAAAAGGTGTACATCCTTTTATTTTCAGTGAAAAATAATTTGTAGTAATTAGTTAAACAAGATTCTGGAACCCTTAATTCCCACAGAGACAGATATTTATAGTAACTACCTGGGGGCATAATATGCACAATTAAATGTCAATTGTAGCATGATAAGGGCCACTTTTAAGGATTTTGTTTCAAAACAATGGATTGCCTAATAGTGCATTCATTGTTCAGTGAACTATTACAAATGACCAATGGCAATAGCATTTTGTAATGAGCCACAGAGATCATAAGTTCATTCAAGAATTACATGGTTCATGTTCACCAAGATGTAATTCCAGATAACCTGAGCCAGAAGTGTGTTTAGCAAAATCACAAAGAATTTAAATGATATCAAAATTATCAGGGAGAGTTTTGTAAATTTATTTCTCAGATAAAGTTTGATTATCATGTGAAGTTTCAGATGCTAGAGAGAAACCATAAAAACTGAACGTACAGGATGGAACTATATAAAACTAAAAACCAGGCTTGAAAAAAGTAAAAACATAAGTTAGAATAAATGCAAAAATTTCTTATTTTGTGATCAATGTCGTAAAGCAAAAAAATTATCACTAATTCCCTTGGTGTTCACCTCTAGAAACAAACTACAAAATATATAAACCCTGTAACTGTGCACAAACATATAAATTAATGGGACAAAAAGCTTTGTAAACCTATTAACATTTGTCAATAGCTACATTTATCAGTCTCATCTCTTAGGAAAATGGTTTTTCATCATTTCAACTTTTCTGTATTAAGCTGTTGTTATGATATAACCTTACTACAAGTGCAGTGATGGGTATCAATTAATGCAACTTTTTTGTAAACTATTATCTAGCAAACATGGGACCACAGCATACATTTAGGCTTGACAATTTTATCTTACTTTCTTGAGGGAAATACCTGACAAGGATGTGTATCACCACCAGAAGGCACAATTACCATTCATGTATCTTAGGAGTTAAAATTTTCATAAAGCTAGCACAATGGAAATTCATGTAATGGGTATTAATTAACTATGGAAGCTAAGCAGTTTTTCTCCTCTATAACATTCTGAATAGTAAAGATTTTTCAAATATATATTAACATGTACATGTTTGACTCTGAGCTGTCACTTGTGTATTAATACATAAATTCCAAACTAAGAGTCACAATCAGTTAGAAAATTATAAATTTCTACTGCAAAAACCAAGATCAAATTAGCAGGGTACTAATTTTACACTTGAGGAAAATTAGGAATAAATCATCCTCACAGAAAAGTAGCAACTTTAACTTTTTTTTGGTATAAATACATGAATCCAACATCCACTTTCTCCATTACTAAATGTTCCTACACCTCAGAAAATTCTAAATGCAAATCATTAACTAATTAAATAATCAGTCATAAACAATTTAAAATTTAAGAGTGCCATTTTGAAGGCAATATTACCTAGAAATTTCTTAATAAGAGCACAAATGAAACTTGTTTGTCAAGGTAAATCTTTCCTTTAAAAAAGAAGACGAAAAGCACGACTGGGCTGTTAGAAATATGAAAAAAATGTTTACACTTTTAATCATGAATGCAGGCCTTCTGAGTGAATGATAATTACAGCTGGTTCCTTTCTAGCATTTTCTTATTTTCTTTTTTTTTAACAGAAAAACCTTCAGAGTTCATATTTACGTTTATCATTAACAAGTCTACAGCTGTCATTCTCTGTTGAAAGAGTTGCAATCTAGAGTAAATGAAGTCACGATGTTTGGTTGTTTTGAATGAAGCCCAATATTACTTGTTGACACACTGCCATATTTTGACGGAAAAATTTACATATCATCGATTCTAGCATACATATTAACTACTGATAAAACCTCTTCAGATCTTATCATCAATATACATCAATTCTAGCTGGAAAAATCACTATATCATTCGAAACTACACTCTATACAACAAAATTTTTATATTTGCAACAAATGTCTTTAAAAATATTTTGAAATCGGGTAGTTTTGGGTATGTTTACAAGTAGAGGAAGCCACATGACCAACGTTTAATCCAAAATTCATTTGAGGTGAGAATAGGTTTACCAAGGTGAATATGAGATGTTCCGAAGTCAAAAGAGTTGCCAGATTGCTGACATGTCGAAAAGGAAGGCACGTGAACTATGTCACACTGGACGATGTCTGCAAACCTGGCAATACTAAGCGTCGATAAAATTTTACCTTTTCTGTATCATGACGAAATAAAGCAAAGCATCTGAGCAAGAGAGAGCTCTTGGCAATTACTTATGACCGAAAAACCGGTTAATTAAGCAAATGGCTTCGTGGGAATAGCCTTGAAATCAGCATGAGAATATTTCGTTATGTAGGAACAAAAGCAATAAACATTCGTGACAACTGAAAATAAAACAAGGCAATCAGATCTCATTCTATCCTCACGACATTGTATTCACAACACCGGACGATATTCCGTGTTGCTTTGGTAAGAATTTCAGAGTCCTTAATCACAACAGCGTGCGTATTTCTACACAAATAGATTGATGCAATACTTTTTCAAAGCAAGTCGATCTCTTACTGCCATCGATCACACGGTATACAAAATTAAAAGACTCTGCTAAAAATCTCAGGTATGCGTCTAGTCTAAGCTCTTGACCTTTCGTTGAAACATAGAAAACATATACGAAGCATAAATACATTAGTTTAAAGCTATTAGAGAAACGTGGAACAACGCTTATTTCGAAAAAAACTCGAAGAAGAGTTAAAAATAATACGGCAAGTGTTGCTTGCAGTAAAAAAACCATGACACAGAGGCGACGACCCGAAAGTTTATTCATCCGCCAAATCCATTGTATATGACGGAAAGTGCCTTACAAGCACTTTCTTTTTTTAATTTCTAGCCCTGTAAAGATATCAGTTGAACTAAATATTTTTTCCTCTATTTCGAAATTCCATTCTTACCTGGTAATAACTTCTCAAGTGTTTGACAAGTATGTCCAAATTTTGTATCCGCAAACTCACATCCCCGTAAACATTTTGATGAATTCGCGTCAACGTGAAGTAAGTTGGATCTCTGAATGGAAAATTAAGAATAATGAACCTATTATTAAAAACCCCAACAAAAACAAAATTCCTAAGAATAAAGTGAAGGGAAGTTAATGATCGCACATGCGAGAAACCTCATGAATTTAGCCTCCTGTTGAGCTATCCAAACACCGTAACCTCTCATATGATCGAAGGGAAATTTCTGACAAATTGTACTTACATGTCCATCATGATCTCGTTCAGAAAAACTCCATCAGCCAAGTCTGTGATTGATTCTATGAGAGCACTTCCTTTGAAAGTGTTGTTCGCCTACAGAGATGAGAAAAAATCTTTAGACAAAACAGAGTTTACGATCGCGCGATGTAAAGTTATCATCACTGAAAGCGACCTGCATACTTCATCGTCACACTATTTGCAAACACTGAACACACAAAGAAACGGTGAAATTAGACGAAAGCAAAATCCTTCTCACCCAAACAACCAGTGGGCTTTGAAGAAATCCCTCTGCAGTGGCCATGGTTTTACACGATCGCAAAACCGCAAATACTACCCAAAGAAATTCACAGTAACGGTGAACCTTAAACCACCGGTCGATCGTATTCACCACATTCAGATGTTCACACAACCCGAGCGATCAGAGTATCGCATGGCAGGTCGAAAATTATACCTTCGGAAGGAATCAGTAGAAACGTAACACTGTAATAAACTCTTTCATCGCCTCGGAAATGCGTCCCGGACGTTCAACTAAGAGGAATTTTGCTTTTCTTTAACAAAACGACCGATTTTATGTTAGCGCGCCAGTGACTAAATATGGCAATTTACACTTTTCTACCCTCCGGGGTAGCGTTAATTAGCCGAGTCTGTGTTGAAAATTTGCACACAATTTTTGCAAGCTCTCAAACTCTAAACCACCGTGGCAAAAGATAATCTCTTGTTTTAGATACGGCCCATAATTTCTATTTCCTTTTCCTGAGAGCCCCTCTTTTTCAGTCGATGACCACTTCCTATTCGTGAAAAAAAGATTGAGTCGGTTCCCCCCAGGGACCCCTACTTGGGGTAATTTCGAGCTGATTGTGCGCAACGCCATTTTGCGTTACTTTAAGAACGTGATTGACAGTTGTAATCAATTGGTATTCAAATATTATTCTCGTGTACAAGCAAATTTCTCGCTGCAAACAAAATAATATTGGGACGTTTTTAATTTCCACGTCGTCACGGCAGCTTTTGTTTGGCTTATCTAGAACTTTGAAAAGGTCAACGCATTCCGAAGTCGTGAGGCAATCCTATTTCCGGCCTATAATATCCTAGCAACACGAGCTTTGAGTTCAAAAAAAAATTTACTGACTGCAGTGCATACTTAAATGAAAATTAATCCCCGGATCATCTTGTGTATTACGACCTTTAGGTGACCTTTTTACATTAGAAAGCTACCCATTGAAATGGAGTGGATCAATGGATTAGAAGTGCGGAATGGTATAGACAAACTCTGTTTTGCTTTGAGTTGTGTTTGCCTCTTTCCGTTTTGTTTGTTTTTATTTGTTTCTTTTTTGTTTTTGTTGTTTCTTTTTTATTATGCTGTTTAATTCGGGGTCTGTGATGTTGTCTTTCTGCGCGAATTATTTATGACAAAGAAATCCTTCGAGTGAAGAGCAAAAGCCTGACAAGTGACAACACTGAATAGACTTGTCAGGAAAAAAAATCATCACATACAATACTCCAAAATGCTCCCAAAAATAACATATTTCCAAAACGCATGTTCTGAAAAAGCTGCATGTCTACTACACTCTTTTCTTATTTTATTATTATTATTTTTTTTTTTTGATAAGAACGTCCTATTTTGGGTTTGAGGCTGAACGCTGAACGATTTGACATTGGAACGTTCTGATATGTTCTTAAAGGTGCGTGGTTTAGTATTTCAATAAATCAATGCCAAAAGTGTCCCTAAGTATTTTAAGTATTTGAATCAATTGTCCTGGTAGATTATAGTTTTATATTTCTTCTACGTTTGTTTATGCTTCTCACAAAAAACAAAAACAAAAAAATAGACAAAATGGTCGTTCTTAACTGACTCTCAGCTTGGCGAGGTTCTTACTATGTTCCTTAAAATTTCGTTTATCTTAGCCTGAACGCTCCTATAAAAAAATTTCTTATTAAAAAAAAGAGTGTGCTGAAAGTTGAAAAAGGAGGTTTTCGAAAATCTTCCAATAATGTTGCTCATTCGCTGTTTTCGAGTGTTAGAATGATTGAACAATAGCCTCACAGACGAAAACGCTTCAAGTATTTCTGTTTGATGAAAACGCATAAGTAAGGAAAGGTTAAAATTGTTTAAAAAATTAAGCGAAACGAAATTAGTTGTGGTGAAAAAATTACGTTACCAATTTTACTATGAAAATAAACGAGATATTTCAAACAAGTTCAAAATCAAAGCGCCTTGGTTAGTGTTGCTGAGGCCTGGACATGCCCCAACGCACTATGGTGAAAGAGTTATGATGAAAGAGTTATTGAATAATGAAAAAGTACTTCCTTCACATTTACAAATACAAACAACGATCGATAATGTTTGGTTCAGATCATATGTGGTTTCGTGATTATTTACAATGTAAACCTCGCTGCTTATTCATATCTTAGCCTAACGAAACCGAGCGGAATCCTGTCGGGCCAAAATCTCGTGACAAGCTTCTTTTTGGGAGAAATAGCCCGAGGTCTTGCATTGTTCGTTGAGAAGTATTCGAGATAGTTGAGAACCATCTATTTAAAAAAAAACCGTTCAATTTACGTTAATTAGCTTTGTCCGAAATTCGTGAAAGTCAGAGAGGGTCATCCTTTCGTCTCTAGACAAACCGCAGACTGGAAAGGGTTTTTGTATCAATGTTCTATTGTACAAGATTAAAACTCGATACGGCTTTGAAAATCAGCAAATTTGTCAATCGATAAGAAAACAAAGGGCTTACGGACCAGGCTGAACTTAAAAGTTGATAAGTGAGGTCTGTACAGACAGTATGTCGCGATTTCCGACAGAGAGCGAGAAAAAAAATGAAAGACATTTCTATGAATCGCTATTAGATCTGATTAAGAGAAATGACGATCACAGACTCTTGAGTCACAGAATGAGAACCAGCGTCCTGGGAGTTCTCTCTCTCTCTCTATCGATCAGTTATGGTCCTAGGTTCAAGCTGCTAATAAGCCGATTGGTGAAACTCCAGACACTTCTTGTGCAATTTTCCACCGTGATGTTTCACGCTGTAGAGGAAAGAATGGGATCAAAGTCCAACCATATACCCTAATTCAGTTTCGCCATTGCACGAAACTCGAAACACGCACAAAAAAAAAAGATACACGGTGATCACAAGCTTAGGTCGTAAGCTTCTGGTTTGATATAGCATGCGTACCTGGCGGGTCTTGTGTACGCTAAAGCGATGAGCGGCGAAGCCGCGAGAGGCTTAAAATAATGTTTCTTCTCTCAACACTTTACGGACAGACAAACCAAAAAGCCACGTTAAACCGCAAGCTATTAAAGTTTGATCTTAAACCTAGGTTTACAGAGCGAGTTATTCACTCATTTGAAAGGAAGAGAACTCTAAAAATCTATTTAGGGGAAAGGTATTAAGCGCGGAAGATTGACAAGCTTTATAAGGTCTAATCAATCAGTGCAAAATACAGATTCTTAGAAATAATATTTTGATAAGGTAAGCCATTCTTAAAACAGCACTCGATAAGGCTTTAAAGTCATTTCCGCTTCAGTGGGGTCAGCTAAAATACATATCCCACAAATTCTAAAATAATATTAAGCTTTTAGTGTCAGGTGTATATGAGGATTGCCCCTGACCTCTGAGATATCATTTAAATCGCTGTGCAACAAACTAATTTGGTGAGTTGAAAAGCGGGTGGGTGTCAGTTTGAAGGGAAGGGTTATTTGAAGAGGGTGGGTAAATTTTTTGCTCAAATTTCATTCTGTTTTCACACTTTCTTATGGACAGCCTTAAAAAGTCCGGAAGTACTTTGTAATTACACTACTGGCAATTCTAAGTGGCGATTTTGCGAGTCTTTTACGCCATCTGAATCCCTCTTTTCGGCTTTTTTTCTTTTCTCACTGACTACGTTCACAAGGGAAAAAAAGTGGTTTTGAACTATCATCTTTCAAAAATAATCCGCCTCATATTGTGTTCTTTGATGAACGGACCGGCATCGGAAGGAAATAAGAAAACAACGCGATAGGTTTGTTTGTTAGTTTGGACGACAAAAGCTCATTTTCCCGATGGACTTCAGGATGTGGACTCACTGATGATTCAAAACGCAATAACTGGCTTAAGATCTGGCTCGAGTCGCTGCGCAAGATGCTTCACTATATTTCAAAGGCGCCCCTCCTCACTAGAGATTATGAACGTATCCTGAAAGTTCGTAATTGAGTATAAAAAGGTAAATGTAGAGAACAAAAGATCCTCTTAAAAGGCACGGCATATTAAAACGAAGCGATTAAGAAGACCAAAAGGAATCCTTTTTAATCTCTAAGGGGAGGGAATATTAGGAGTAAGGTGATTTGTGTGAGTGATTGTGTTATGTCTAAAATTTTGTTTACGGAGTCTTTTTTCTGGATGAAATTTGTTCGCATGATTTTTGAAAATTCTGCCGTTTTCTTCCCCATAGTATTAGCCTCTGAATAAGAGATTAAAAACAGTTTAAATTCTCCTCTGAAGGTATCCTATCGCTGAGGGAACCCGGAGCATATGTGATCTCTTTCGACAGGAAAAACTAGTGACACAATATTATCGATATTCATCTCCATTAAAGCAAGAGAGCCAGCCGGAGAGTTGTTACAAATCACAGCTTTACAATTACCATTTGTTATTCGTTTCCTATAAGCACACTTTGGCGCCAAATACACTATTCTCATCCAAGATAAACCCGTCTGTGTCAAATACCACATTTCCGGTTGGACAATCTGTCTGAGTTACAAAACTTAAGCGGAAGACAAGATGAGATACATTTTGAGGTTACTTCTGGTGCATGTGCGTGGTGCGCTGCCCAACAGGGTATGTTTGTATTGGTCAGAAGTCTTAAAAATGATATTCGTCTACATTATTTAGCCTCTTGGAAAGAGTATCCTTCTGATCTGGAAGCCTTGCTAAAACTGTGAGCCATAGCAATGTTGCAGGGGGGGGAGGGGCTAGGTTGCTCATGACCTCCTCCCCTCTCATTAAGAAGTATTTTTTGGTAATAACATACAAATCTTAGGTATGTGCCAAAACGCGAAAATCCTAATAATGTTCATTGCATAATTTTTTTTAGTACTAAGTTTATCATTCATGAATACTAGGCGGGATATGAATACATTACTATGACAAGAGGTCAGTTTAATGCACGTAACCATCTACGTTATCCACTTCAGTTGCAATATGTTCTGTCTATAACCGTGAAAAATATAATTATTCCTTCACTCGAATAAGAGAACCTGATTCTTACAAAAAAAATGTGCAATTAAGGATTTTATTTTAATTCCAGGTCATTTCACACAGCCCAATTACCCACAGTAAATGATGGTACAGTCGCTACACTAGTTGACGTTTAAAGACTTTTAGAAAAGGAGAATGAAAACAAAATCGTAACATTTACAGATACAGTCGAAACGCGAAAATTCTTTGAGTTTGCGGGACAGCTTGGTTAAAATAAGAATAAACGTTGGTTTTTTAATCAAAATGGGAATACCACACAGAAACTATAGGAAGGACTTCATCAGTTATGTAAACGATTGACAATCAACTTAGTCATTAAAGTCGGACTTCTGCTGTCACACGTAAGCCAAACGTGGTTCAACAGCGATAACTCTACCGTATTAAGTTCAACTCTTTCACATTGGTACAAAAGAAAGGGGGGCCTTAGCATGGGTGAGGTTCTGTTGATTACGAATGGTGGAAATCATTCTGAAAAACAAGCTTGTGATATCTAGCATCACAGGCTCGGCCTCATCACAAACACAATAACATGTGTCATTCTTTATCCGAAATAATTCAAGTTGCATAAACTTCCACAATCCTTGTGGGATATTTCCGTTTTCTACCACCTGCACTGTACTGAAGGGACGAGAATGTAGTGTTTCAACCATAAAGTCTTTCAATAGGCTCATTTTACTATCTTAAATTCTGCTTAACAACGAGGATTAGTGAACAAAAATGAAAGAAATGAATATACGTTTTTGTTCAGTTCTCTTGGTCCACGACGGATCAAACATTCTCCGCTTCTGGCCCAACCATGCCTTCGGATTAAACTAAAACAGTGACAAGGTTAACGATGAACTTAAGCCCATGAACCAAACAGTATCAAACGCGTTAAATGCAGTTAAAACATTCTTCGAGACACTGTTATTGTTAAAAAAAAAAAGAAAAGAATAAAACTCCACGCACTCTGACCTGGTCTTAGAAAATAAAATTTCTACCCTCATCCAAACGTTACTATAGGCTTCTCAGTGAGTCTTTCCAATCGTAACGCTACACTTCTCCGGAACGTTGTATGACAAACCCAATCTCTTCTGGAAATGTGGCGTGACGACTGGAATGAAAGTCACTTTTTACAGTTTATTATTATAATTCTCTTTTACTACGATAAGTTTTTTGGATTTCATGTACACTGTACAAAAAAGTGTCTGTACACAAACTCTGAGCTAAAACTGGACGCTTGTTCACGTTGTTAAAAAACAATACACGACAGACTTACAGTGATGTAGTAATTTAAGAATACAAGGAATAAATTAATCTCGGTAAAAAATGCAGGAAAGTTGTGTCTTTGGACAGGTTGATCCATGCTTCCCGTTTCCAAAGCAGTCTCCAAGTGAAGAATCTTTTGATGACAGAAAAACTTTCCAGTACGCACTCTTTTCCTTAACGTCACGCAACAGTAACGTAACGTACTTCATTGCATACAGATCATGATGATCAAGAAAGACAAGCAATGACTGTTTCACAGTTGTAAAATGACACTTTCCTTATGAACTACTCTGGAATTTCAAAGGTTCTTGCTATGATAACACTTAATAATTATTTGGAGGCCAGCCTCGTCAATGCATTTGGATAAAAAAAAGAGTCTCCTGTACAACCGCTGTTTGGTCTTGTTACGCAACGAACCTTTCCTCATATCGACTGAAAAACAGCGTTGCGTGACACGACCAAACAACGGGTGCAAAGGATGCTAGAAAATTATCACACTTATCATAAAATAAACATCTAGAATCGTCTGATCGGGCAGAACACTAAGCTGTTAGAATAACTTAAAGATACTTTCTAAAGGGATACAGATATCGGAGGACTGCGATACAATGAAAATATCTTATCTAAATCTAAAACACTATAAGATAAACAACGTAATGATAGATACACAGAGCTGAAATCTCCAGCAGAAAGAGTAACTTAGCAAGGATCAACCTGTCCATAAAGCAAGAAAACGTCTTTTGACTCTATTTCACTCGATCTATTGTCACGCTCTTGGCATGTCACGGAGTCACGCGGTGCTGTCATGCACGCATACGTGTACATCTCTCCTATTTCCCTGGGCAGCAGGCAACACACACGAGGCTTAAAGGCAGGTGCTAGGAGGCATTTAGCCGCGCTCTTTTCGCAGGGCTCGTCGTTTCACTTTCTTCCTCTTCTTCCTCCTCATCATCAGGATAGTCAACAAGTCCAACTAATGGCTGTGGAGGAAATCAAAAAGGAAATAAATTTGGGAGGAAGCAAAGGCTGCTCAGTTTTTCCAAAGCAGCTTTTCCTGCGCCATGAATATGGCGTTCTTGATGCGTAAACGTTTTCTCAAAGGGTAGCTATTAAAAGAAAAACTGATCAATTAGGATAGGGTTTTCGCCTTTTCAGCGACACTATCTTTAACTAATTTTTTCACTAACTATTGTTTTTCATAATAACTAAAGATGCACTCACCCGCTTGTTATTGACGATTGAGGGAGGTGCCTTTTCGTTGACGAATGTTTTTCGATTTTTAAAAGACGAGTCCTCGTTAAGAAGGTCACTTTGATCAAGCGTGACATTTTCCTCGCCATTTTCATCTTCCTGGTCGAACCATAGTTCTTCGTCCTCATCGAGGGCCCGCACATCTCGTCTAAACCGGCTGTTCACATGGATAGTGCCGTGATTCATGGGACCCCTACTGAAATCCAAGAAAAGAAACTTTCAGCGTAAACAGCCAGGTAATTTTAGAGATCAATTTCAAGACAGACCACATTTTAATTAATGAGAGGTTTTATCAGCTGAGCTGTTAACGACGCTTTAATGAAGGCCTAACGCTCGAAAAATCAGCTTTAGAAACTCTCTACCGGATTGAAATTAACAATTCAGGAAATAAAACCAAATTATCTTGTAATACCCCTCCTCACTGACGCAGCACCCCTCCATTGACGCAGCACCCCCCCCCGCTGATGCAGCACCCCCACCCCACTGACGCAGCATCCCCCACCCCACTGACGCAGCACCCCCCTCCCCAAAAAAACATTTCAATTGAGTAACACAAGACCAAGACCAAGACCAAGACCATCATAATTCAGCAGCCAATCAGGATTAAATAAAATACCACCACGAGAACGTAAACAATGTACAAACAAACAGCTTAACGTGTGGGAAAGAGGATACCATGCAGTGAAGAAAACTGTTTTATATCGCTTTTGAAAGTCAAAACGAGCTGCACATGCTGTTGTGGGCTGATTATAGGAAAAGGTGAGGTCTTTTAGGGTCATTGGCATTTAATCGATTAGAGTGGAAATTGAACTTGAGAAATGCACACATACTACATTATGTTTAAATGATCGACTTAATTTATCCAACGAAGTTTACCTCTCAAGCATCCTGTTCTGTTTTCTATCCAGCTCCTGTTCATCTCTTTGCAGAATCCCTTTGAATGTGCTTACGTATGTAACCTCTTTAAAAAACGGCGTGTATTTGGAACAAACATGTGAGCAGAGGCTCTTTATATCTTCCTGTAGCATGAAATAAAAAGAAAAAGCTGTAATTTACTACTGTAATACCTGTAATTTAAGTGTTCCATAGTGCAGAGTTGTGCTAGTTAATATTTTTTTTTTAAATTCTCGTCACTTCGCTGCTTGATATTGCAAGGAACAACCGTGTCTTGGTCTTTCCTGGGAATAAAAGGGTTAACTTTGCCTTTGTGAAAGCTTTTTAACATTGCTGATGGGATATGAAAGGGAGGAGACGGGGGGGAAGGAGGGGGGGGGGGAAGCAGCTGAAAGAGGGGTGTGGAAGAAGAAAGCTTCACCGGGCACAGCTTACTTACCACTCTGATAAATTCAAAGAGCTCTACAATGGCAGAATTAAGAAGATTGTATCTCTGTCCATTGTTTTTGAATGCTGTAACAACTGGATCAAACAACTGTCCCTTGATGATGTAACGGTTGTAGAATTCATCTTTTAAACCAACTATTCTTCTCATAAAGCGTAGTGAATCTGAAATATAATATTCCAGACAGTTGTATGAATAGACTAAATTATTAATCAACAGTTGCTTCTTCAGAAATTAAACAACTACAATATTTATATCTTTTGAAGATGTATCACTCACTTAAAACTAGAAACTTGTGTTGCGATTTCATTAGCACCAACACTCTTCTTAGGAGGTCTTTACTAATGATGTAGTTTTTTATGTGGTAAGTATGGTGTTCAACACAGAATGTCAGCAGTTCTAAAATGTGTCCAAGTGTCACGCTGTTGACATAATCATCTGCAACACCAAAAAGAGGCCAAAAACATCAGAGTATAAACAGAGATTAAAAATATACAAAACAACGTACCACAGAGCTCAGTTATCAAACTAATTAACCTTCAACTCCCTAAAATCAATATGCATATTCTCTGTACTATTTTCTATACATTTCCTAAGTTGCTGAAGAGGAGAATTTATCAAACAATCAAGACTTCCTTTATTTGGAGATCATTTCCTTTACTCTCATGACATTGATGTACGATTAAGGGGTGATATTGTAAGTAATTGCAAGTTGCTCTCAGGGGGTCACAGGGTTAATTCATTGAATGAATAATGAGTTTATTGACTGCTATTGACATACTGAACAACTGACAAACTGTATGACTGACTGACAGACTAGCCAACTAATTGATTTAAAGAAGATTGATTGATGGATCAATTATTAATAATGACAAATCCACTTTAATTTGATACACTTTAATTAGCACAATGGAACTGTTAAATAGAGTTCAATCAATTGTTCTCTTAGGAATCAATATTATCAAATCATAAAATAATATCTCAAAAACTTATGTTGCGACGTTATGGTCTACCTTTGCTTGGCTTGTCATCACTGGTTGCAGCAAAGAGGGGTGCTGTCATCACATGCATGGAATGTTTGTAGAAAAAACTCAAGAATTCAGACTTCTCCATTTTCTGTGTAAATGAGAGAGAGATGCATTACAGAGGATAAAAACACAAAACCCTTAATTACACTGAGGAAAAATTAATGAAATAATTATTACATTCTATGACTCACTGCATCACAGCTCTGGACAAGAAGTCACTGATTTGTCTTGAGTGTAACACTTTCAGTACCACAGTAAAAAGGAAAAATATTTCTCATGTTAACCAAAACACCATTATCTTACATTTGCTCCTAATGCCATGTTTTCTGGATCCAGCAAAGTTCTTATCAGCTGAGAAAGTTGAAAGGCATTTCCTGAGGTAAGAAATACAAGAATATTAACACCACAAAACTTTAGAGAGTGATTCATGAAATAAAAAGAGGTTCAGCAGAAATACCTATTCACAAGTTAAAAATTGTACTTGATAAACTAACCTGTATCACCGTCACATATCATGAAGTCAATAATGTGGTTGATGAGCATGTCCTGCAAGCGAAGAGAAATGACCAAGAACATATGTAAATGATGCATAAGATATTTTTCATTATCCACAAACTTTGGTATTAATCAAAACTATAACAAAATTCCCCAATGTGATTGGTTATTAACTACACAATTTAACCCTTCAACTCCGATGAGTGACCAAGAGAGAATTTCTCCTTAAAGTGTCAATGCAATACAAAGCAGACTAGTGATGAGAATAAAGAAGAATAGTGATTGGGAGATTTTCAGTTGATCCAATAACAAATTCTCCAAACTAACATTATTATAATTGTATGGCAGATAGTAAGGAGAATATCTGATGAGATCTTGGGAGTGAAAGAGTTAAGTACTAGAAGGATAGTATACATATATACCTTAGGTTGAATTATCAAATGTACAAACTGTATCTCCTGTCTTTCTCTTTGGTCATTCCCCAACTCTCATATAAAAATCAGCCTGGAACCCTGTTTGGGTTCAATTTCTCTTGTAAAAAAAGTCTCATTTTATATTTTGATTTATGTGTGTTAAAATGATGTGTATGTTGTTTCCAAATTTTGTCATCATTGTGATTACTTGTAAAAAGGACTCTGTTTCATGCAATCTTATCAGTAATCTTTGTCATGATTAGCTGATTAGCTTTGTGGTTATGTGATGTTGTTTGCCACTAGTATAATTCCAGACCACAACACACTCTTATCCCTCAATTGCTGATAAATACTAATTTTGCAAGTGAATGGGTCTAGAACCCACCAAGCTTATAGAATAGCCTGCAAGGACTACTCCACCCTCACCTGAGTTCAATTAATAGAATGAATTACCTCTTCCTGTGTCTGTCCCTCCTTCATGATGAAATCCCTTACAAGATAGGGGCTGATGTCAACAACTTGTGAAAACATCTCCACAGCTGAGAGCCTGTTCTCTTCGCAGTCACTGACCTACAACAACAAAGTTGATAGTCACACATACAAGTAAATAATTCAATTAGGCTGTTACTTAAGAGATGCATGATATTCATTTTTCTTCTTAAGCTGTGTTGATGAAAAAAAGACTAAATATTTTTCATCTTTTCTTCAATTTGTAAATGATCAGCTGGTCTGAATACAAACAGAGAGAAGAATGGACAAACAGACTGTTTTTTTTTTTAAATCCTTGCAAGGAAACACAAAAAAAAATTAAGAGCTTAGAATTACTACATACACTTACCAGAAGCATTTCCATGGCAGGTAACAAACCATGGTGTACAAGAGCCTGTAAGGATTACAATACAAATTATAAAATATAAGAAACCATCACATGGCAAACACAGTGGTTTCATTTAAGAAAAAGCAGAGATTCAGTAAATTTTACCATATCAGAAAATATAATAAAACTGATACTATGAAGAGAACCAGATCTCATAATCAATTCCATTTTCAGATGTGAACATTCATTTATTTCCCCTGTACTAGGGACAAGAATGATCAAATACTCTGTGTGATATAATGCAAACAAGTACATTTCCTAGAAAGCTGCTCATAACTGCAACAATTACTTCAGATTTTTATGAAGCAAATGACAAGTTTCCTCATTTCCACTCTGACTATGTTATAAGGACCAAAAAATAAAAAAAAAATAAAAAAAAAGAAGCAAAAAAAAAACTAAACTGAGCAAAAGGTATTCTTGCATATCAATATGAAGACTGGCTTGAGTTTTTTCAAGTTAACATTTGACTGAACATTACTTCGGTCAAACCTCTATTATCTGGACTTCGTAAATCCACATTTTTCAATCATCAAGACTTGCTTATCTAGTCCCATTTTTAATGAATATTAATAGGTAGCATGTGCAATCTTTTTTCCACCAAACAAAGCTCATTGATATCTATATTTCTCATTATATGGACTTTTGATTATCAAGATTATTTAGCCCAGTTTTATTGTGCTAATTATTTAGCCCAGAAGTCCAGATAATTGAGGTTCAAATGTACATTCAACTATTGTATGCAACAGAGTTCATTTACTAAGATTTGTGGCTTGCTTAAACTAAGTCCACTTCCTAAGTAACAAATGCTGGTAGATTCAAGCACTTTCAAAACACAACCAAATGTAAATACTTTTCCTGTCAATACAGCAAACATACCTTAAAAAATTCATCCTTCTGGTGAATTTGTAAGTGTAAGGAGAAGCTGACTAATTCTTTCAAGAAATTTATCTGCAGAAAGGAAAGATTGAAAAATAACTGCTGACAAATATTCAGAGTAAACAAACTAATTCTTGATTTAAAACCCTTCAGCTTCCAGAAGTGATTAATGTGTAACTTCTCCTTAAAATAACCATACAAAATCCAGCAAATAGAGGAGGATAATCAAACTTATCGGGTAGATTTTTTTGTCTTGATCTAACACCAAATTCCCTTATTTACTCTACAAGGAAATGAGCAGCAGCTAGAAGGGAGAATTAACAATCAGATCTTGGGAGTTAAGGGGTTAAAACATGAATTGTGTCCGTCAATGGTGTTTTGCAATAGTTTTTCATGTTACCATCATCATGGGAGATGCAGGATAGCATTTGAACTTAAAAATGATAAACTACTACCACATCAAAGCCTACATTTTGAAAGGAGTCACAGAAATCTTTAAAGATATAATGGAGTAGTCTGCGATAACAACACTCTAACATATTACAATCAAACAACAAAAATGCCACATACAAGTTGTTTTCTTCTGTCTTCCAGTGTATCCTCATCAGTGAGTTGTAAGAACATATCCGCTAAAAATTTATCATCCTCCTGCCAAAGATAATTTCAGAGTCAACCGACAAGAACCTATTCCTTAGCAATGTTGTCCTCTTTGTCAACTAGAAATGCTCTTTTACCCCAATATACTTAATACAAAAATAATAAATAACAAAAAATGTTTCTGTTCATAACTGAGAATTATACTCAGGACGTTTTTGATTACCTGAGGATATCTCTTTCTCAGAAACACCTTTCACAGATTTCCTTTGGTTGCACAGCTAGTGAGTGGCGTTTAGAATTAAAAAAAAGCGATTCTCTGACCTGCTGTGCCATTCTAACCACAAGGACAAGTAATGTACACAAACATAACACACTCAAAAGTTTGTCACCGGCAATTTTCGAGGTATTTGCTTTTTCTGACAATCACCAAATAACATCTATTGCAGAGAAAACATATTTCAGAAATGTTGTGCAATCTCACAAAATCCACCCAATTTCTTTAATTAAACCTATACCCTCAGATTTAAACCTTTCTGATCGCAAAAAAACATGGCGTGAGAACTCACCCTTGTTCTATGGCCTTTTCAGATTTTGTTGGAAGCCTATCAATGCCTTACCAAAGTAATGTTCACATAAAAGCTGCTTTTACATATTTTGAGAACAAATGAATGTCTAGTCTCAGGAAAAAGAAATTTCCAGCCACAGTAAAAGACATCATTAGCACGCACATTCCTAAAATATATGTTCTGAGAGGTGGAAAGTGTTAATTCTTGCCAGACAATATTGAAAGAAAAGGACTTAAAATACAAACAAAGCCTTATTGATTGTCAGTCATCTCGAGTTCTAGTCATTCACGAGTAAAAAAATACCATGTATGATTGTTCCTTTATGGCAAATGACTTCAACATAAAACTGACAAACACTTGATCAAAACACTATCCATTTTCAGAGAGATCTTTGATGAACATGTTCCGAGGGCTTTCTGATTGTCCAAGACAAAATTTTGAACTTCTGATATCAAAAAGGACAAAAATAAACAAAACAAAATCAAGCTTAAACAACCCCATCCATTGCAAAAAAAGATCTCATAATAACTGAAAAACATTTTCAACAAGTCAAATTGCTGTGATTTCAATGTTGCAAAATCTCATTAAAATAAACTGTTATCAATCCTTGTATTTTGTTTCTCACTCTGTTATTTCACCTTGTTAAAATGTATTAGTGTCATGGGTGCCAAAGTGAGATCCAAATGTTAATTTGAAACATGCAGTAAGACAAACAACATGTTTAGTATCCATACAAAGGAAACGTCAAAAACTCTCTATAAAACACCTGTACCAAAGAGTTTTTGTGCGCAGTGAAACAACCTCCTACTATCCTGCATTCATTACTGTATAACATACCAAAAACTGTCCTAATAAACTACGAAATGGGCAAAAGAGAAATCAAATCTGATAGCTTACCACCAGACAAAGAGAAAAAAACTCAAAAAAAAAAACAACTAAAATCAACAAAGAACAACGTGACGCAAATAAAATTAATAATATGGAAACCTTCAAAAATCATAGCTAACCCAACTTAGAGGGCTAACTTTAAAATCCCATCAAATATTTAAATTTCCTTTTAAAAACACTAGTGTTCCGCAAGGGCAATTACTTCGGCAGTCTGCCTTTTTCATCTTTAGGCTGCGATCACAGCGCACCGGACAAATGTAAAATCTATCTTTACTTGAGACAAAAGTTGATCGTCTTGTATTTCAAACAGAGACGAAACTACGTCATCGATTTTCTTTTCCCTTAGCAACATTACCTTTTACCAGAAATACTTCCGAAAAAAAAAAGCTGTAAATCTTACCTGAAGATGAGTTACTATTTCTATTCTGTTAAAAAGTATGAACGAATTCACAGAAGCCAGCATATTGTCCTCAAAAATCGACGGCGGGGGGAGGATAGCATCGTAAATGTACTGTACACGATAAGTTTGATGAATCTTGTTTATTAAATCCGGGTTTGATATGGGAATAATTTCTTTGAAGTTCGCGCTTTCCTTCAAAAACACTCGATGCCGTTGAGGAGAAGCTCTGCTCGGGTCGTACTCCAAACATCCAACAACGTCGAATACAAGATCGTCTGCAAGCATGATTTCCAGCAATGAAGGCTTGTTCATGAAAAACAATGACTTAAAAATATCATATAAGTGATGAAGTCCATCCAAGTTCTCCAAATCCTCGCAGATGTGGAACAAGTCCAGTAATTTTCTAATGTAATTGTCTTGCTCAATTGCCAATGCCAATTTTTCCCGGCGAATTGGTGATGGCAACACACTACTAAATAGCTCGGCGATTTCCTCCAGTTTACTAAGTTCGCAGGGCGGTAATTCAATTGGGCCTGTCGAGTCGAGCACTTCTTCAAAACGCTCTTCCGAATCGTCATCCTCTGGTATATCCTGAGTAATGGTTACAGACGGATCTTTCCCTTGGATCTAGAAAAAAACACATCAATAACGAAAAAAGGAAAGTTTACTACTGCGAATGCTACTGAAACAAACAATGGTCGCTGAGACGAGCCTCACAGGCATTAATGATTTCGTAAGAGTTTGTAGGTAAATGATAGATTTGTTAAACATCAAACAAATACGTCTCTTACGAAAGGGAAACATGAGGTAAGAAATGCAGCAAAAGATAACCAGCGATCTCTCATTGTTTTTTTTTTTGAGAACGTGAAGAAGCAGGCCGCTGAACTCACCTGGCAAATTTTTTCCCAAATCTCATCGCAGCCAGCTTTCTCTTGAAAACTTAAAGCCAGATCGTAGTTGTCGCCTTCTGACCACACAATTAGCGTCTCCTACGAGGCAGAATTGACGATAGCGTTACACAACTCGTTTGACGAACAACCGGCATTACTTTAAAAAACGATAAAATATACCTGCTGCTTCTGATAGGCAGTGTGAGGTTGTATCTTTGACTCGAGTAGAATTGAACCTGCAAAACGAAGAAACCGGGTCAACTTACGACAGGTTTTCGGGCTTCCTCGATAAAAAAAATCAAACTAGAATCAAACTAGCAAAGGCACACTACAGTAAAATGGCCACAAACCGTCTTCTTCTGATCGAACCATGATCGACATCCCTTGTAAACGTTCAACATACGACGACGACACGTGCCCCGTACCACGGTCATCCCACTGCCGGTCTTCATTTAATGTATATAGCTTGACACGGCGCCTAGTACTCGCCATAATCTTGGCCCACTAATATATCAAACAAATAAATGGTCCCCGCATCGTCCACCATGAGAAAATCCTGTCAAAGTACACCTTCAAATGAGTCCGCCATGCTGTATTGCTCTACTTTCTGCTAAGACATCAAAACAATAGGGGCGTCCTCAACATAGTCAAGGGGGTCCACTGGTTTCAGTGACAGGCGCCATTTTTGATATTTCCCGCCTAAGGAGGATTTCAAGCAAATGACGAGGTGCTTTTTGAGGTGCTTTTTATGGTCTTTTAGCACGTATACAAAGTGAGAGAGTTTAGTTTATCTTTGTTTAGTAGGCCAGATTAAACCAAAACTTCCCTAAGCTCTGTATCAGTGTTGAATACATCTCGTCAATCTCGATTTGAACAGTGTTCTTTTTTTGCAAAATACAGAAAGAGAATAAATTCACTAACAAAGAGTGAATGTAACTGGTAAATTTAAAGATTGGTCTGTGTACATGGGTACAGTCGAACCTGTATAGAGCAGCATCGTATTAATTAAGCGGTCACGTTTTCAAAGTCCCGAAATTGTTTACCCTCATTGCTGTAATTTTTTACCTCTATGAAGCGGTCGCAGTCAGCCTTCGCAGAGTCCCAACAGCCATTTTGCATTGTCCTCCTCCACGTATATCACTTAAAGAGGAATCATAAATAAAACTAATTAGTAATCTTTCGATGCAAATTTAATCCGTTTTTGTCTCCGAAATCAATGTTAAGTTAGCAGCATTTTTGAGCGAGTTTATGCACATAAAGTGATCAATTAAGGCGTAAAAAGGCGACATTTATCAGTTTTTGTAATACCTATTCTGTGCGACCTAAATTAAGCGGTGAAACTGTAGTAAGCGGTCACACTGCCATTCCCCGTGGGTGATCGTTTAATACATGTTCGACTTTAATAGGCAGATCTGTAAATAGCCGGGAGGGGAGGGACTTCAGTTGAAAAGTTGTATTTTTGTAATAAATCTAGATACATGTTCCCAGGTGCAAAAAAAAAAAGATTTTTTTTCTAATCTAAGAAATCAAATGGAACAGCTCTTTCTGCTGGAAATAAAAATGACATCAACAGAGAGATTTTTCTTTTGAAATTTTTCATCGAAAGCACAAGATATTATACTGCGCCATTTGCTTGAACCCACTAGAACCCATGCCTTATCATGGAATACGCGGTTTCAGCCAGCCGAGCGTATGGTTGCAAATTTGAGGACTCGTGTTGACATTTATGAAAAATCTCCTGAACGAAAGTGACATAAGTTTTTCCCGTTCCATCCAATTAGAGAAAAAGAATAGTACCGCTATGATAGTTTCAACTTTCATTCACCATCATTGATTTTAATGTTTGCGGTCAAACGGTCCATAATAGTTGATGATAGTTGGCAAAATCACGCAATAAAATCGCACGAGTGTAAACAGGTATGGACCGCGCTAAGGTCTACAATTTCGGTGGTATTTGAGTTTAAGTCAAGAAGTTACG